GGCAAGATGCATGCATCCAATGTCCACGTTATATTCCAGATACATGAAAGGGAGAGTCATTTGGGTAGGCTCCATTAATCGAAGCTAATAGGTGCCGAGTTTATATATTCAGTCCTCCGTTTCCTGTGCGAATGTTAAAATGGCACTCCATCTTGCTCCTTTCAAAAATAAAGTGTGATGTTTTCTAAAATAAAAAATAAAATGAGATGTCGCCAAGTTATCTCAAATTTCTAATATGGTTATACAAAATATTTTGTTTCAGTAAAATGTATTCAAATCCCAATAATTTCAACTTATTTAATTATTATATAATAAAAGAAAACTACCTCTATTGACCTCTTGATGAATTAAAAAAAAAGTAAAAAAAGAATTGATTAGCTATCTCAAATTTCTAATATATATGTATATATATGAATCTTTATCATATTTATGTTAAGAATAAATCTCAATAAACAAAAAAAGTTGGAGCCATAACGTATAAAGTACCATCAAATCTGATATAACCGGTTGAAATTTGTAGATAATAATTTATTGGATCAAGGTTGAAATGTAACAAAACAAAAGTATGATAAATAATATTTTATTTATTTATTTGAGAAAATAGTAAGACCTACTATTATAATGTAGTTTTTATGATTTATTAAAAATAACTGATTAGTACATATAGTATTATAACTTACTCTTATGATTTAATAAAAATAACTAATTCATACATGTAATATTAAAAATGATTTATTAAAAAATAACCGATTAGTACATATAGTATTATAACTTACTCTTATGATTTAATAAAAATAACTAATTCGTACATATATTATAAAAAATAATTAAAAAATCATTTGATCGATATTAACCATGCCCAATTAGCGGTTTTGTTTTTCTAAAAAGATACATCAAGCTTTTTAACCTTATCCTTCTTTTTTTATTTTATTTTTAAGAAACAACAAAATAAATTAAATTAGAAAACAACATAATATTGACAAAATAATTAAATTACAAACAAATTTAAAATTATAGAGATTAAATATATAGTTCCTAAAATTATGAGGACTAATTGATTACTTTTATTAAACTACAAGGACTAAGCTATGATTTGCTCACTAATTAATGCAATAATGCATGACATTCCTTTTGGAAAATTCAGCTACCTGGAAGACTAGAAAAAACACTCCCGGGCACGTGGCTGTCTCTATCGAACCTTTTAGCTATCAGACAACGTTTGAACCGTCTGTTAGTCTTTTGTCTTCCACCATCATTTGCCAGCACCCTCAAAGCTTTCCAGTGATGGCCACCAGCTCCACGGACTCATCCCTCTCTTCTCAAAGGTAAAAAACTTGTGGTCATCCCCCTTCTCACCTTAGTATTAAATGGTTTTTTTTTTCCCACCGTACCTTTCTTTCCTTTAAGAAAAAATCTGGCTTCCTGTTCTTTCTTGCTTTTTGCGTATCGTTTTTTTGGTTCTTGTAGATGATTTTTTGGTGATTTTTATATATTATCATGGTTTGACATCAATCCTAGGCAATCCAATGGTGATGACTAATTCAAGTTTAAAATAATCAATTTGGACTATTTAGTCTTTTAAGGAACTGGTACTAGCTTGCTATAAACCCTTGCAGCTATTGCATCAATTCATAGTTGATGAACTACTCAAGTTTTAATTTGGTCATATATTGTTGTTTTTAACCCAAGTTTTTTTTTCTTTTTTTTGTGTTGTTGTCGAAGAGTTATATTTTTGTATGGGCTTCCCTTTATGAATTCAGGGCTGACTTTGAGTGTGGTTTTCTTAGTTTTGTAGAGTAACAGATCATGAGCATTTCTACGAAGCTTTTAGTTTTGTACAAGTTAGAGAACCATGGTTTAATTGAATGTTTCCAGATTTCTAGTTATGGTTTAAGCTGAATCCTTTTATGTTGCATTTTGATTGAGTAGGATATAAAGGAAAAAAGGCAATAATGCAGAATCTTATTGGCTTCTTCGTCTTCTTCTTCTTCTTCTTTTTTTAATGTTTAGTACTTAATAGTTTCATCCAGTTTGCATTCTGTTGTCTTTCACTGAAAAGGAAATAGGCCATGATCTGGTGCAGATTGGTGTGATATGAATTTGTGTTCGTGAGAAATAAATTGACTACAAAATATCATATTTCACTTCATTATCCAAAACCACCTTGCGGAAGAGGCCCTTATATGGCTTGCTTATTCTATTCTCTTTTATTTTTGTTACGAGAGTATGAAGTCTGTCTGATAATCATCCTCCTATAAGAGCAGTACCTATCTTCCCCATCAGTGGGGTTAATGCCCTTAGAGGTTTTGAATTTGTAACTTCTTTAAGTGCAAATCAAGATCCCGTGGTTTGCATTTTAAAGTTCAAATTATGTAAGTACCATGGACTATAGTATTCGGTGCTTGTTTCAAATTGATATGGGTGACTTCAGATGTTCATGTTGAGGTCCAACTTCATAGGCCACTTGGCAAAATGAAAATTGGCTAGCTGAGATCATTTTGAGTATGAAATTGCAGTAGGTCTATCTGTCAAATGTGTAAGATTAAGCTGTTCCCATGCCTTCTTGCTAACTCTAATCTTTGTGGTGCTGGGACTAAGTAAAGTCTTCCACCAGGCAATCCTCATGTGCATTGTCACAGGCTGTGTGATGGTGCCTAGCGAAATAGTCCAATTGGGATTTAAGTTGATATGAAGATGCTTTGGAATTCTCGATTGTATGAGTCTCATTTTAATCTTTTCAGACTTCAGAGTGCCTACATACTGCATTTTTTTAAAAGGGAGTGCTGCTAATAAATAAACCTTATATATGTGATATTCGATTTGTTTTTTTTTTTTTTTTTTTTAACTTTCATCTTCCGAAATGTCTGTTATGCTGGAACTTGCATACCAACTTAAAATGATTATGCATAATTGGAACTTGCCAAGAATAAAAAGTACAGTTCAATCTCTATGAAAGTTTGCTGCTGTTTGTTGACATTGAAAGAGCCAGATCATCCAAGTCATCAGTAGTGAACTCATTCTTTCTGCACAATTTGTAACATCCTTTAAATATGCTTTTGAGGTATTTCTGGCATCCTAATTATATTGGAGTGATAGTTTTTGCATATTTTTGACAACATTATAATGTCAAGACTAGTCTATCTATTTCAAACCCATATATATCAAAACTAGCATCTTGCATGGGGTTTAAGGTTTATCTTAATTTTTTATCTTATCTTGTAGGTTATTGGGCAAAGTAGCATTGGTAACAGGTGGAGCTACCGGTATTGGGGAGAGCATTGTCCGTCTATTCCACAAACATGGTGCAAAAGTTTGTATAGCTGATTTGCAAGACAACCTTGGACAAAATGTTTGTGAATCACTTGGTGGTGAGCCAAACACTTGTTATATCCATTGTGATGTCACAATAGAAGATGATGTTCACAGAGCAGTTGACTTCACTGTTGATAAACTTGGAACACTGGATATAATGGTTAACAATGCTGGGCTGGGAGGTCCACCCTGTCCAGATATCCGTAATGCGGCCCTATCGGACTTTGAAAAGGTGTTTGATGTTAATGTGAAGGGTGTATTTCTTGGAATGAAGCATGCAGCACGGATTATGATCCCGCTAAATAAGGGTTCTATCGTTTCTCTCTGTAGTGTTGCCAGTGCCATAGGGGGTGTGGGCCCACATGCTTACACAGGGTCAAAGCATGCTGTATTGGGTCTGACCAAAAGTGTTGCAGCTGAACTAGGAAAATATGGGATACGCGTAAACTGTGTTTCTCCTTATGGAGTTGCGACTGGCTTAGCTGTGGCTCACTTGCCTGAGGATGAGAGGACCGAGGATGCCTTCATAGATTTTCGCTCTTTTATGGGGAGAAATGCTAACTTGCAAGGAGTGGAATTGACAGTTGATGATGTGGCCAATGCTGTTCTCTTCCTAGCAAGTGATGAAGCAAGGTACATTAGTGGCGATAATCTAATGCTTGATGGGGGCTTCACTTGCACAAATCACTCACTCCGTGTCTTCAGATGAGTAATTCTCACTAGGCATACCGCCATGTCTTAGGCGACAATGGAGCTTACAATTCAATCTTGCATGCTGCCATGTCTTAGGCGACAATGGAGCTTGCAATTCAATCTTTTAGTGACACAGCTTCTACTAGGTTTAGACAGCTGCTGATATAAAGAAGACACAAATGCTATCAGTTATAGCTTGTACCTTGATTTCTGTATTATTACGTATGATCCAAGACTCCTCCATGCTTATTATCGAAGTGAATTATAATCCTACTCGTTGGAACATTTCTTGCCAGAAACTATATTCGTTTCGCCATTTTGGAAGTATGACTTTGAATTAAGGTTTTCTCCGAAATCTTTTTGAGGTTTGAGACATGCCATCATTTGACCTCAAGACTACAGAAATCTGATAGTGAATTGCTTTAGCTGTGGAATTTCGTTGCAGCATGCGTAGATGACTACATACTACGATAAGCAGGGGACCTCGTGAATATCAATCCAACAATCATCAATTCTTGAAGGAAAATAAAACGAAAAAAGAATCCACAATTTTGTTTTTATGATTCACAGTAAGCACAATTGGCCGATAAATTGAGTGCAAAGGAGACGGAAAAATAACAATGACAAGAAACTGGTTTTTTTTTTTTTGGTTACAAAGAAGAGGCTGGAATCCCAGAACTCTTAAACTAAAGGTCATTGCCGTTTTTCCTTTTTTTTTTTTTTTCCCTTGGTAAAAAGGAATGAAAAATTAATTCGTAACCTGAAAAAAGGTCCAAAAGTGAAAAATATAAAATAAAGGAAAGGGAATTATTAGGGAGCTGATCTTGAAAATTCAACCTCCAAAAATAACTAACCTTATCTAACGGTAATTCAAAAAACCAGGCCCTAAAACAAAGACAATGGCCACTCGTCTTCCTCACCTTTCAAAAAAAAAAAAAAAAAAACCCTCTTCGACTTGAAAGCCTGAAACAAAATATCCCAAAACGAGCCAGTTCATGGCTTCTCTTCAACTTCAACATTTATGGCTATCTTCTCTCACCAAAAACCGTACTACCCTTTTCTCCTCCAAAACCTCTCCATTCAAAGTCTCACTCTCTATCAACTCATCTAATGCTGAACCTTCCAAACCCACCTCACAGAACCAACCAGAACCTGAACCGGGCCCTGTGGACCCTGTAAAACTTGCTTTTGAGAAAGCTAAAGTGTATAGAAACTCCATTGAAACGAGCAAGAATGTGAAGATTGAGCAAAACCCAGTTGAGGATTCTGGTGGTACTATAATTGGGAAAAGTGGGAAAACTAAGGAAGTGTCAGATTCTGTTAAGCTTGATATGGAGAAAGCAAAAGAGTACAAGACAAATACAGGAGTTGTTGGTAGTGGTGGTGTGAAAGGTGGTTCGGATGCAAAAACAAATTCAGGTAAGTTTCAATTTTTCAATTTTCAATTGGCAGGTTTAGCTAATTTCTGCTAATTTAGGTCGACCTTTAATTATTGATCACTTATTATTTTCCTACATTAACAATGTTAAATTGGTAATTAGTCACAGTGTGTTCACAGACAGGAAATATGGATCCTTGATCAGCCATAGATATCCCATTTGCCCTATTGTTTTCTGAGAAATACATGTTCAGCTTTACATTTTGTTGTCAGCTTTACATGTTGTTGTCATACAATGCCAATTTGATATCAGCTCTGCATCAAAAGATTTTGTTGTGGTAAGTTTAGATAAGATGTTGGAAATATCTAGTTGTTCTTCTGAAGAATGAATTAAAGAGCGTAAGAAGCTAATTAAGGCTTATAAATGCTTAGGAATGGAAACCAATTTCATCGACTTATTTTAGATTTTCACTTTGATATTTCATAGAAAACTGTCTTAGTAATGGGAAAAAAAAGGGAAAACAAAGCAAATGATTCAAGACTGAGTGAAATGCTTCATTTCTCATATCTCTTCTTATTTGAAGGAAAAATATCTGCTGAAAGTGTGCAAATGATTGTTTTAGGATTAAAGGGAGGGAATTTAGGAGGTGGAGTGGTGGATAAAACTTCGAAGAAGGAACAAAAACTGTCAATTTCAAGCATTGATTTTGTGGGGCTTGAATTTGCTGATAAGAAAAAGGGCAGGGGACTTCCTGCTGGATTAGTTCCAATCACAGACCCTTTTGCAGAGGGGAAGTTGCCTGATGTGGAGATAATCGTTGGGGACACTACCAAATTTGAGGATGCCACTACATCAATATCCAAGCCTACCAAAGAAGATAATCCAGATCTCTACAAGCCAAAGGTTTCTACATGGGGTGTCTTTCCTAGACCTGGAAACATTTCAAAGACGGTATACTAATTATAGTTCATTTGAAAAATTCTGAAGAGTTATATGCTCTCCAACTCTTAACTTTGGTTGATGTTATTTCTTTGAGAGTAACTGCATGAAATGGCTTGGTTAATGCTGGAAAACAGAACTTCCTGCAAAGGAAAATAAAACTCCTCGACTCCACTATTCTTGGATGTTCAATGAAGAGAAAGTAATGGTAGTGTCTCAAATTGGTCTGTGGCTGCTAATAAACGCAGTATCTAAGTAGAAGAAAACTTAAATCTGTCCTTGAAAGAGATTAAGCAGAACCTGCATCTCTTAAGTGGATAAACTTGTCAATCATCATAATCCGATGGTTGAAGAAATATTTGATGGCAGTTTATTGTTTCTCAGTTTTTCTAGAAAAGGAATAATCTTATGAACAGCCTTTTCTGATAGTTCGTTCTTGTGTGTTAGTTTGGTGGTGGAAAAACTATTCGACCTGGAGATGAGCTTGAAACAGCAGAAGCACGTGCTGCTAAAGAAGAGCACACGAAGAAATTACTTGCAGCCTACAGGAAGAGCATTGGCTTAAATGTTGATCCAAAGGTGAAATCAGACTGCGAGAAGGTATATACACCTCATTTAATCCGACATTCATTCTACAAGACCAAAAAGAAATAGCATTGAAGTTTCCTGATTTTCATTGCTTACTGAAACTATGTAGAATATCAGATTACAAATGTCTTTATTCACTGACCATTTTTCTCATTCAAGTCATTGTGGTTTATAGGCCTTGAAGGCTGGCGACTCCTTAATGGATTCTGGAAAGCTTAATGATGCCCTACCCTACTATCAAACAGTTATGGACAAGTTGCCATTTAAGGTAATTTTACTTCAGATGTGAGCCACAACTGTTTTGATAAGCTAAGTGGTCTTGAATGGGCTGATAGTATGGCCATTTGGTTCATTTGACAATGCAGGTCTAGTGAAATGATTCTCCAATGTTTGCAGATTTTTAAATGGTTAAATCCAAATTCTTAATCAGATATATTGGATGGTTCTTATTTCAGATAGGTTTCAGCTGTATACATGTCTTGGGCATTCTAAATGATTGGTGAAATGTAACATTTTCCAAGACCTTAAGACTTAAAAATTTTGAGTCCTGAGTGGACAGATAGCCAACTTGCCACATTTTTTATAAGCTATGGAGATGTTGTTAAAACTATTTTCAAACCTCAGACAGTCTTAAAATCACAAACCTACATTGGTGTTAATTTTTGTTTACGGTCTATTGTATAACAATACTCTGTACCATTTCCCTGCATATATGTTTCTGAGAATGCAAGAGCATGATAGTTAGACCTGGTTGATGTTTATGATCATACCATCCAGTATTTTACATTAGACTTCGTTTCTAATGCTCGGTTCAATATTTCTGAATTTCAAGATCGGCTTATTATATTTGGGGTCTCAGTAGCAATTTCTTGTTTGAATGAGGGTAGCAGAAAAGGAACTTCTTCCAAGATACTTGGTTCCTATTCCAATCTGTAGCCATGGTCCTTGGAAAATGTCTCAACAACATAATTCTTGGCTAAAAAACAGAAAGGAGTTCTGTGATGTTGACTCTGATCCTTGAATCTGCTTTCAGGAATTAGGATTAGGCATTCCTTCTTCTTTGGTGTGATAACTAATCATAAATGAATTGTGTCATTCTTATATTTGATTACACACAGTTCGATTTTGCAGAGTGAACTTCATGGCTTAGCTGCTTTGCAGTGGGCAATCTGTCAAGATTCCTGTAGTAGGTATGTTTATTTTATCAATAGTTGCTCTATTCTTAATAGATGTTTGAATGTCCTAGTTTTATTCATTCTGTTGCTCAGAATTTGAATCCAGTACCTGTCGGATTCGTATATATAGATAGAATCATGAGAGCCTATCTGTCTAGATAATAATTGTCTGCTAAAAGTTACAATGTTTGTTTTACTATACCGGTAATAAACAGTTGTGATGACTGACAGACCAAATGAGGCCCGGGCAATGTATGAAAAACTCCAGTCTCATCCAAATGTTAAAGTGAGCAAGAGAGCAAGGCAATTTATGTTCAGTTTCAAGGTAACTAACACTGAAGCAGAGATGATACAGAGCTAATTCTATGCATGCCTGAAAATTGAAATATTTAAAAGAACTTGCACATAATTAAATCAACATCTGACAAAATTCAATGTACCGATTACTGAACAAATGAACTGTGTGAAGCCCAAGTTTGCAATTTTCAACTTAAATTTCCAAAACCATGTTGATGCATGATCAAAAGTTAATTACTGTACTTTTTCAAGTTTTGTATGTCTAGCGATTTCAATGATCACTAAAACTTTTAATTTATCGTAGGCCATGGAGATGATGAAGGTTACAGGCTCAAATTTCTCGACAAACACAGGCTACCAGAACTATTTTGAGAAATTTGTTGCAGATAAAACCAGCTACCCTCAAGGAGAGGCTGAAATTGAAATTGGTGTATTGAATCAAGCCCTCCCATATATGATTTTTCTTGTTTCTCCCATTTTTATGGTTCTGTTCCTTGCTTTGCGGGGAGGAAATACAAACTAGATACTTGTTGTAACCAGACGCTAGGATGTAATTAATAAATATATCTCTTACTGTACATGAAAGGTTCTTTTTCAAGTTGATTCTTTATTTCATGTGGCCAAATATCTCCCTTTCTGACTGATGCATTGTCAATACCCTTCTAATAGCTGCCTCATTTGATTGTAGCATTAGTGTTGTTGAGAACTGCTTACTAGTGATGGAGGAGGAAACAGGGTAGGCACCCTAAAGTGGGATGAGCCGTAATTATCAAAAACTTTCATGGGAAACACTTAGCTCCACTTATTGTGCAATGATTCCGCCAGAAAGCACACAATGTGGAGAAATGTAGCTGGACTGGACATAAAAGCTGGAGACGTGGAAAGGTATATGGTTGGTGTGAGAATTTTTTTCCTAAAGAAAGACAACTCTTGCTTTATAGAATAAGGTGAAACTTGTTCAATAATTGCCATAGATTAGAACATGAGTGACGAGTGGATTGATTGAAAGATGATGCATTACTATGTGAAGATCGCAAAGCTCTCTAAAGGGATATTATGGTTCCGTTATCTAATTTTTCCTGTAGTTTTAAACCTTTACTGTGTGATCTTAAGCATCTATCATCATTCTTGTGCTGATTAGTATCTACTTTACATTTAAAGTCAGAAAGGGTGCAAATGCTGCTGATTGGACTTATCAAGTGTTGTTTGTCTTCAGGATGGTATTTTTATGTCTTTCAATTCTCTTGGATTTGAACATGAACATAGAGCAATCGCTGCCGCATTTGCCGGTATGCCTATCCCCACCATAAAGGTTCTGTAAAGTGAATATAATTTATAGAATTAACAATTTAGATACAAGATGATGACGAAGTTGTGCTTCTTCTTGTTGATTTTTGCTCCTGCAACTGCAACTTCTTCATGACCATCAATCCCATCAACAGAATGAAACTCTCACAGTTCATTTATATAACTTTACCAGAGTGGTGTTCTCAGCCAGTTACATGGTTCGATGAGAAGATGAGGAATCTTGATTCATGTGAAAGTTGTATAAGTATTTTAATCAGAGTGCAGACCCTTTATGCAGAAAGCAAACATCCTTGATTTTGGAGATTTAGGATGGAAGAAAAAAAAAACCATTTACCTGCCATGTTCCTGATAATCCTCTCTTTTTGGCCAAAAGTTGTCTTCCTGCCTCCAACCCACACGGACATTGCATATGTACCTGAGGCTGCTTTTTGCCTCCAACTCACAGCCTGCCATGTTTCTTGATTTTTGTTCTTAGTTTAGTTTTCAAAATTTGTATATAATTAACTAAAATTAAGTAATCTATGTGATGAATGCTTTACATAAACTATGTGATACACTAGTTTCCACTATACAAGTATTTTGAAACAAATACAAATAAAATAAATAGACAATTTTTTCAGAACAAAATAAGTATTATATTTATATTTATATTGAACTTTAATTATTGGAATATTGGTTTTATCATTGTTTTATTTTTTGTAATTATATCCAACATGTCATTGTGACTTTGTCTATCCAATAGTTGCAAATAATTCATGAATGATTTCAGAATAACTCTGTACATTTCTTCTTCACATATCTGTATTACACCTATCTTGTTCAATTTGATTAGTTTTTCTGTTCATCTTTTTTGCCTATTAAGACTAACATGACAGTTAAGTTTTGTCCCACTCTTCCACCTTAATTCATTCTCTAAACAGATGCAGACATTGCTGAAAATTTCCTCTTATTTGTGTGTGTGCTTTTTAATGAGCATAAGCATATCTTGGTGTAAAATATTAAAACTACGAGTCTATTATCTTATATTTATATTTTTAGTTTTTTATAGGTATTCTCATTTCACATTAGATATAGAATTAATTATATACGGAGTGAAAACGATGAGGTTTAATTCTTCTTAATAAGTATAATTTTTATATTCGAATCATACATTATGACAAAAAATTTATCTAAGGACTAATTTATTTACGATGAGGTTTAATTCTTCTTAATAACTACTATTTTTTATTTATGACATTTTTGTTGATTTTTAGATTTCAAAATTCATGTCATCTGCATCATCTTCAGGTCAATATGTATTTTCAGGACTAACAAACATGACCTCATAACCTTTTCTATCCAGAGCACTCCCAAATCAATAATTCCTGACATAGAGATGAGCTTTGACTCCCAAGATGGTGACTGATAGGTAATCTGAAACAATCAAAGCCTAAATTTAGAGACTATGATTTTCTTAATAAACTCTTAATTATTGAATTCTCCTTACATACAAATAAATATTACTCCCTCATTATCAATAATCAAATATTTTAGAAAAACAAAAATAAAAAATGTTGATTTAATATATCAATTAAGAATTTTTAAATGGGTCTGGAAAAAAAAACAATTTCTTTTAAAAAATAATATTTCGCATGCGAAAAACAATGGTAGAGCTAACCTCATAATCAATTAATCAATCAAATAGATGACCATTCCACAATTATAATTCTTTTTTCCTATGACTCCTCATTCCACTCTCCAAGTTGATCATTTTTTCCCAAAAAGAAAAAAAAAAAAGCTCATCACATATTTACGAAAAGTTCCTTGGTCATGCCATATTTCTTAAGCACTAATTAAACAAAAAGCAGATTCCCAGTAAGATCTTTCTCCTCCTCATCACCTGATTAAAAGAAAATATACCACCTAAAGATGCTACTAGATTCTCAAAAGTTTACACCCCAATGTTTTTTTCTTTTCAAAAAGTTGATTAGATGCCTTAATCTCTACTAACACACCTTACTTGGTAGCCCTAAAAGCATCCCAGTTGATCATCTAATTCCTTGACTTCTCAAGTAATGGCTGGTATGCTCTTGATTATTTATACAGAAATTTAATCAGAATTTCTTAACAGCGAATTATTTTATTTTATTCTTGATGAAAATCGATATTACATTAAGAATGAAAGAATCAGTTGGCAGTTGACAAAATTATAAAATCATTACAAAGAAATAAATACTCACAAACTGTATATATATAAAAAATTGACACTATATATAGCCAAATTATATAATCATTCATTCTATCTACATTATTTTTACCTAAAAAGTCATCCATTTTGTTTTCTTCCAAAGTATATGATTAAAAAAAATAGGATTCATAGATTTTGTAGAGTATCAATAGAATTAAGGTGACTGACCAAACCGTTAAGATTTGATTGTAACATCCTTACTCATCTAAACAATAACATTAACAAAATCCGAATCAATTAATGATTCATATTCATCTAAACAATAACATTAACTAGATTTGATTCAGTGATCCAAAGTACTTGATGAACATAGAAAGAATCAACATTGATTAGACAACAAATTATAATTCACCATTGGCCCAGTGACATTTTTTAAAGTAGAACTTCTTATTTCTTATGGTGAACTTGCTAGCAATGTTCGTGGATGTGATTTGTCAGGTTCCCACGGCATAGCCTTTGTAAACATCACCAGATTAGGCCCTTCCCATCTTCTCAACCGTTCTATTACTTTCTTGGCTTTGTTTGCGTACAATTGCATTTAGGAAGCCACACCCGTAACTTCTCTCTTTTAGGGATAAAGAAACCACATGCTTATGCACCAAACAAAAAGTAGATTCTGAATAAAATCTTTCTTCTTAGTAGTCACTAGTTGTACCTAAAGATGGTACTGTATCTTTGAAAGGTACTCCCACTCTCCTTTTTCTTCTTTTCTTTTTGTCTTAAAATATCTTAATTTGGTCCCTCGGTCCCATCAGCTGAGCTATTTAGCTCATTAATCATTGATTAGGTTCACAATAATTCTCATGAGCAATTACTTCGTATTGTCAAACCAGCATTTTTAATCTAATTAATTACCAAATCAACTTTTAATTCAACCTCTTGATATGTCTTAAACTATGGAGAAAGCACTTTCTTTCAAGTATCTGGCACCATGAGAACACGAGCATGGTAATTTCCTAGAAGGGAAGGTTCACCATCAAATGGACAAATCTTGCATGCAAACAACAGTGACAAGATGTTGAAAGTTACAGCTTTGGATGCATCAAGAAAAAGTAACATCCTATAAATGGGATTTTAGTAACATCCATCTCGAGTCTAATTTTCCAATTTTCCATCACGTAGAGCCCAAAAATTGGCAATAAGCCAAAATTTACACAGTTGGCATCGAGGGAACCGTTGAGAAGGGATATTAAGATGAGGATAACAATGAAACTGCAATTATTTGAAAAGAAAGAAAAAGAAGAAATTGGATGGATATTATAGGGAACAAGATAACATGAGATATTTCATGGGAAAATTTGGATTTATACAAGGAAGTGCATCAGAATCAGACAGAACAGAATGTTACATGCATACTACTAAGACCTATCTTTTAGTTTTTTGCAAACTCACATGGTGCCGGGATAACTTGAATGCCCTGGACCTGCAAAAGAAGCACCAAATCCATTCACATCTCCTGTATCTTTCTATCTTTTTCTTACATATCTAGGGTTGCAATCCTTATCATTGCATTGAGTAGTTTTCGACTGTTTACTCTCTTTTGTTTTGGAAAAGTTCTTCGTGACTGGAAACATGGCATGCATGGAATCATAGTGGTCCACCGCTGTCTAGACCACGCTCCATCATCAGAGAATTCAGGACTGAATTTGTCTATAGTAGTGAGAACCAGCAATAAAGATTGTCAATTGCAGAGGGGTCTTGAGGACCCATATATATATATATATATATATATATATAAATCAAAGTTTGATAAGTGAATCATAAACATCAAACAAATTAACATTGAAGGTACGTTGCTGGTAGATTATAAGAAGAATATTTCTAACCCTCTAAATTATGGATTCGATTCTTGCTATTGGAAAGCTCTTTCATTTCCCTTTTGACAAACTAGATAGAAGCTAGTGGTAGACTCAAAAAATCCAATCCTTATATAAAATTAATTAAAAAATAGACGTTATTTAACTATGATTTATCTCAAAAAATAATAAATATAATTTTAATTGATATCTAAACTGGCTCGAATATATATATATAAACCATCAAGTCTACAGCATATAATATTATTTATATCTAATTAATGAGTCCATTAATTGAACACAAATTAAATGAATATTGGTAAAATGTTTTTGGGAAACGATGTTTGAAAGGAAACTGCACGATTAGCATCCATTAGATTAGAGTCTAAAAAGTCGTGACCCTTGCCAAAAAGAGAGGCAAAAGGGTAATCAGCACCGGGTGGGAGTCTACAAAACTTTAGAAAGGCACTAACTTGCACGGTGATTCACATTTATAAAAATTAAAGTAACTTGGGCTTTAAGGAAAAGTAATGATGCAACTTTACCGTGCCTAATTAATTAATCCAGTGTTTTGCATAGCTATTTAGGGTTGTTGAGATTTTTCAAATGTGGTTTTACTGATGGATGATGTAAGTATGGTCCAATGATAGAGGGCATGGAGGGAGAGACTTTTATTAGGATATTATGATGAAGTTTTTATTAGGAAATTATATATGATGACAGGGAGTAAAAATTTAGATTAGAAGATCGAAGTCTTTTTTCTCTCTCTTTGTCATATATATATATATATATATATATATTTGAATATGATATTTTATTAAAAAAGAAAGAAAGAAACGCTGATACCCATTAAGTTATTTATTAGATATTTTTTGTAGAGATTTTTGCACCACTAAAATACTAATAGTCTTCTATTTTCTTATCCGTCATTTTATATAAGGTTTTTTTCCTACATTTAGACTAAGTAATTTTTTTAATTTTATTTATTGAGACCTTTTACTTTTTGGTATTTGTTACTTCGGACCTAATGTTATAAATCATCGATCGATGATTAATATATGGTCGAAATTTCTTACTTTATAATGTCACGTGTCGATTATTAATTGATAACACTATAACAGAATGTTTTAAAAAGCAACAAATTTAAACAATATATATTAATAATAATAAAGAGTTTTAATTAAAAAAAATAGAGAATCTCAATTAAAAAATTCAAAACATAGGAGTCCAATATATATAGATACTCATTTTATAAATATTTCTCTTTTTAATCATGATTTGCAGGGTATTTGGAATGACAAATTACCTTTACAAAGTTAGTTAGCACCTACTACTTAAGCTAAAATATATAATATCACCGATTTTATGATGTGAAGCTCTGCTTAGTCATGAATATGGATTTGGATAACCATCAAAACTTTCAGCAAACAGACAGGTATGCTCCTATCAACATTGTCTGCTTGTATTTTTTTCAATCAAATTTCAAATCTAAACCCTAGCTAAAGTCCAACTCATTTTTTAAAACCCACCTGTACATTTCAAAATTGTCCAATTTTTGTCCAAAATGTCCGTTTAATTGTCCATACATGGACACATTTTGAAAGACATGAAACCCTATCAATTATTGCATAAAATTCATCCTATCAAGCAGACACATTGAAATTTGAATTTTCTAGTGGGACACAACTAATTAAAGAAATTTGTTACAATGGTTTAATCGCATTTAACCCCTCATAGAAAAAAAAAGAAAAAAATTCAAAATAAGGATAACTAGCTCAGTATGTTTTTATATAATAATCCGATTCTCTAATTCATCACTATATTTCTAACTATATTTATTATATTCATAAATAATTTTTTAGTCTTTAATTTGTTATTTCGATCAATTTTTTTGATGATGAATAATTTTTTTTTCAAAATGCCTTAAAATAAAATGCAAAAAGAAAAAAAAATCTAAAGAATTAAAAAAAAAACATGCAAGTAATGTGATTATAAGTTTTTTTTTTTTTTTTTTTTTGCATTTCAATTAAAAGTATTTCACTTAAAAAAATTCATTCATTGTAAAAAAAAAAAATGATTGAAAAAACATAATGGATACTAGAAAAATATTAAAAAATATAACTAAAAATATAGAAATAGATTGAAAATTCATTTTATTATATAAATACAAATCAATCAATTTATCCTTAAAAAAAAAAAAAATCAACCAAAACAGGCATGGGCCGGTGGCTTGATGAGAGCAAAAGATTATCAATTCCTTGACGAAGGTCTCATTTTTTACATTATCCTTAATGGCACCCTGCCTTTTGCATTGGAGATGGGGAAGAGGAGCGTCTGTAAATGGACCTTTAGGGCAAAAATGGACCCCACCAAGCAGCCCCATTTTGCCGACCATTGCTTGTCTTTCGTAAAGTTCTACCGTCCATTCCTGATGCTGCTGCCTTCCCAGTCAACAGTTGATGATATAAAACGGGAAAAATTCTCCTACCGTATATCTTTACAGAAAATTCCATTAATACCCCTTAACATTTCCCCTACAAATCTCTGTTCACGCCCCAAAATGGGGTCTCATGGATTCTCTTAACAAATGAAGAGAATTGAGGAATAAAAAAAAAAAAAAAAACCTCGCATCCAAAGAGATTTTATTTTTTATACAGATTAAGAAGATTAACAATATATTTTATTTAAATTTTTAAAAATAATTTTTTTAACTGTATTTGGACAATCTTTTACCAAATAGATTTTAATTAAAGATATTTTTAAAACATATGCGATTTAAAGTTTTGCCCGAGTTAATACTTTAAAATAAATAAATAAATAAATAAAAAGATATTTAGACAAGAGTGATAATTATGGGCCATTAATGAGTATTATAGTGAGAGGATAGGGCATGCATCCTATTTAATGTGTAATGCTTATCTTTTCTTCATACTCTATTTTTAGTGTAATTAAAGGTTTTAAAAAATACTCTACTTTTATAATTGTATTTGGACATTTGTTTACAAAATAAAATTTAAATTAAAAATATTTTAAAAATATATATCATTTAAATTTTTTATTAAATAAATAAAAAGGTAGTAAATTTTTTGAGACGGATGGACTACGAAGAGAATACTAATAAATGAGTATTCTAGACAGGGATAGGGCATGCATCTTGATTTATTCTAAGGAAAGGTTTTGAAAAGTAAATTTACCAATTTGTATATAGATGATTTATTTAAAATTCCGGTAGGAATAACTTAATTTCGACGTAAAACAAAAAAATTTGTTCGAGAATATTCTAGATTAAAACCAATAAGAAAAAAAAAGAAGAAATTGTGCATTTTTTAAAATTAAGTAAATTGAAAGTCAAGGTCTTTAATTGGAATCATAAAGAGAGATAAAAATGCATAAGCATTAACCTACCCCAGCAACCCCAACAACTAACTAAACTTTTCTGAAATTTTCTTTTCTTTTCTTAATGAAGTAGTAGCATTTTATTTAGGGCAAAACGATCATAAAGATGATTGATCGAATGGTTCAAACAGTGCCAAATTTCACATGATTCATGCAGATGTCAATCATGGTTTTTGAAGATAGAGACCCTTCGTCCAGATAAGGAAAGGGGTAGTTATGTCAATGGAGAAAAGATAATGGATTAGGGCATCTAATCTCCACTTGAGTGTACAATCTCATTCTTTTCTCCCCAAAAAAGTTTATTTTTTTATTTTTATTTTTCACACAGATTAAAAAAATTACTAATTATCATATGATATTAATATTTTTTTAAATATCTATTTTTGGAAAATTGTATTTGAATATTTTTTTATTAAAAAAAACTTTAACTATTAATATTTCAAAAAAACATACCTTTTTGACTGGACGAATATTTTAAAACAGATAAAAATAAAAAAATATACAATTTTTTTTTATACAAAAGGAGAAAATAGTAAACAAGTTAATGCCATATGTATAGGTAGTATTTCCTTGACGTATACCCAACAATTTTCAATACAGAAAATGCCTAAACAAAGGGTCCCACAACACCAATGAGGGAAGGTCAGCATCAGACTTTATCTCAGCCCTGTTCAAATTTGTTCTGCCAAATGACCATTGAAGTAAAACAAAAGGCCACCCACTGAAAACCAAAAGAAACTCAGCAAGAAGAAGAATCTTTACTTGATTGGTTTTCAATCCTCAACAAAACTACTTTCCTTCCAAAACCTGACCACCCCATCTCTAAGAAAACCAATGTCAAATTTCCATCTAGAATTCATGCTGCGGCTGGCTTTTCTTTGAAGATGGTGCAAAGAAAGGTACCCTACAAGCTTGGTATCCAAGCTGATCATGTTAAATCCGAGAAGCGGTTGGGGAACCTGAAACCAAGTTCTTGTCAGCATCAGGATGGCAAGAATAGAGGACCAGATATGAAGAAGAAAATGAAAAGGTCAAGATCATTCAAGCTTTCTGATATTGAGAGCTTGAAATCATCATCACCTTTGAGGAAAGCCATGTCACAGCCTGGAAAGCCGCCTCCTCTCAATGCTTCAACAACTGAAGCAACACCACAGAAGCAGCTTTTCGTCAAAGCAACTGATGGTTCGCCAAATTATATGAAGTCAACCAGCAGTTCCGAGGCAAGAAAGGAGCGATCCCAGGTGAGTCCCTTGAATACTCAAACTGGTTCAAATGGTAAGAAACTGCATCGTAGAAACTCGGGTAGTTCGAAATTTCGTCCTGCTTCTAGTAACAAACCATCAAGAACTTTATCAAAGACATCTAGTTTGAAGCTGGCGAGGACTCTCAGTTTTAAGCCAATAAGAGGTACTGCGAAGAAATGTTCTAGAGTAGCTATTTGTGCAGATGGGAGTACACAAACAGCTACCTGTTCTTCAACCCTGAAGGACTCGAAGTTTCCTCCATACCTCATGCTTAATCCTGGGGGTACTGAAGCGGAGGGAACTTCTGTCATGAAGGTCTGCCCATATACCTACTGCTCTCTTAACGGTCATCATCACAAACCTGTGCCTCCACTGAAGTGCTTCTTGAAGGCAAGGAGGCATTCGTTGAAGGTCCAGAAGAGCATAAAGTTGGAGGCTTTATCCCCGCGTAGAGCCAGGCCATCTGGTGATGGAACAGAAGAAATTCATGGTGGACTGCTGGATTTTTCTGATGACAAACCTATGATACAAGAAGCTGGCAAGGATTTCTTTGTTGAAATCTACACAAAAAATACAGAAGATGGTGCTTTTTCTGGAGAACCTGAAGGATGGATTAACGAGTCCTGTTTTTATGCTGGCCATGAAGCAGCAGCTGAACAAGACAACAACAATCAAGTTTTTGAGAGCTCGTCTGATGAATCACAAGAATCAGAGATTGATTTTGAGGAAAATTCCAATATAACCAATGCAGCAGAGATGGATGTTGCAGTGGGCTTTGTCATAGAAGATGAAAAAGATGGGGATACAGACTGTTCATCGACCTTGTCTGAAGATGAAGCAATCATGGGAAGCTGTGACAATAGGAGCGACATTGAAAGGGAACGCCAAGCAAGTATGGAGGAAGATGATGGCATCTCTGAAGCAGCTGACATGGAGTGGGAGGAGGGCCGACTTTCTACTTCAGAGGTCGATACAGAAGCTGATGACTTGAACAAGCCTGATGAAGATGAATTTTGCACCAAAGTCGAGTGGACACCAGAAATCAAGAAACTTGATTGGCATGAGGATTCTGAGATCATTATATCAGATGATGTAGGCAGAAACTGCACAGAGGAAATTCTAGCTGATGAGGTACTGCAAGAACTCTTTGCAGAGGAAACTGCCTACATTAATGTGCAATGGAGCGATAGCAATTCTGAATCGGATGGCATACCCCACTATTGGGAGATTCTCGAATCTATCAAAGTGGAAGGGGACTTAGCATATGATCAACCTTCGGCAGTTGAAGATGCATCTGAGGCACTAAAAACCGAGGAGGAGAAAGATAAAGAAGCTGAGAGATATCTGATTGATGCTGTGACCACTGCAGCTTCATTGTGGGAACCAAAAGGAACCAGGGAGAAAATTCAAGGTGATGGAGTTCATGAAACAGAGAATTCTCAACTTGCCATTGCTGAACTCCCTGATGCTGAAGCTGGAGATGCAGCAGAAGATCGAGAGCAAGTTGCCAATGCTGAATTGCCATTTGAAATCCATGTTTCAGATTCACCTCAGAGTTTTTCTGAAGTTGATCAAGATGATGCTACACTAAATGCCGATGGAAACCACATGACAACTGAAGCTTGCAAGCTTGATATAACCGCTGAAGACTGCAGTTCAAGTCAAGATCTTGTTGATGACGGCACTCCAACTGAGCCTCTTGACCGCCAACTGGGTGAGCAGGATGAGACAAATAGTGTTCTTGAGAGCCAGAGCTTATTCGAGGAAGATCAAGATGAAGCTAACAGGATCAAAATCCTAACTGCCATGGATTCGGAGGATCTGAGTGGTTCAAGAATGCATAAAATCAATTCAATTGGAGATGATACAGGAGAAATTGAGAATACAGAAGTGGAAGTTTGTAACGATTCAGCTACAGCAGAAACCCTCCTCTCTGCCAATGATGGAACCAGCACAGGATCAAAACGTCTATTTGTATACACGAGAGCCAATCCCGAGCAAGAACTTCATGATACCTGCAACAAAAGGAAATGGACAATTGGAGACAAGAAACCCATCAAAGACTTGGAGGAAGAGAGAGAATTCAATCCAAGAGAACCAAATTTCCTTCCCATTGTTCCTGATCCAGAGGCAGAAAGGGTCGATCTCAGGCATCAGACGATGGATGACAGGAAAAATTCCGAGGAATGGATGCTTGATTATGCACTACAACAGACTGTCACTAAACTTGCTCCAGCTAGGAAGAAGAAGGTGGCACTACTTGTTGAAGCTTTTGAAAAAGTCTTGCCAACACCAAAATATGAAACTCGTAACAGGCATACATCAGCAGCATTATCTCACACAAGACCGATTCAAGCTTGTAGCTGATGGCACTCACTGAGGTATAAAAGACATTACTTTCTTGGTGCTATTTCTTTCTATTTGGCTACAGTAGTGAAAGTTGAAATGCCAGTTTAGATCACAGAAAAAAACTTAAGTTCAAATGTGACAAATCATGTATTCCTTTCATATTTTGTTGCAGGTCATGCTGAAGTGGAAGCTGCATAGGTAGGTTATATCTATAATAAGTTGGTGAAGTAGGAAGATTATTATAGCTAACCAGGGCCCAAGTTCTAGGAGTAAACTACAATCTAAGTAGAGAAACATCTTATTCTGTTCATGTTAAGAACTTCAGAATTCAGACAATCATGTGATGGCTAGAATGAAGATTGAAGTGCAGATGCAGTATACAGTAGTTTCTCCTGACCTCTGGAGGTGAAGTGCAAGTGAAGATTGAAGAGTGTATCCCATTAATAAAAATGTAATGACAGTATGAAATCTGACTTTGAGTTCTGTCAGCCAGATGATTACCGTCTATCATATGTTGTTGGAAAAACTCTTTTACCTCCAAATGTTGTTTATTTATTGTGGTTATTCTGTCTAATATTGTGCCATAACTGTTGTAATTATGTTCGTGTTTATCTGACTATTTCCATCTCCAGTCACATTTCCCAGCAAAGAAAAGATCTTCATGTGACTGTGTAATCTCTAAGAGGTTATGACTTAAACAACTCATATAAATTTCATGCATTTATTAACCGGAATACTTGATAATGTCAGGTCAAGATCAAGAAGAAACTACACTATTAATTCCAAGAATAAATAATTACATGAATTTTCAGTCTCAACTAGATTGTTTAAAAGCAGAGGACCGATTATTTCAATAATCATTGTAGACTACTTCAGTTTCTATAGGCTCTGTAATACATGCATACCACAAGCAATGACAACCACAACCAGAAGATTCATTCCAACAAGCCTCGTGCTAACTACATGATGCTATTGCAATTGCATCTAAAGACATGAATTCAGTTGTAGATTCAATAACACATGAACTAACGATCTAGAAAAATAAAAGTAGTTTTTCTTATTTTGCTTCTCGAGCAGTAATATTGTATCAATTGGACATGAATTATTTCTCTTGGAAAAATTAGATACTTTGCTTACAATTTCTCCCTCTTGTGAAATTTCCTCCAGTTTTCTCCAAAATTGGCATGGATTTGTTGGTAACCATATGATGAACATGATTATAATGACTTTTATCTCTGAGCCATCAATAGTAAATTTAAGAGAGAATATGCGGTAAGATTCAGAACAAAATATCAACAGAAATTTCAAATGCATTAAATTACTGGCAGTAAACAAAATCACAATATAATTGGATCTAATCAAAATTGGTGATACAATTGTGAGAATTGTTTTCATAATGTTACCTCTCAATAAAGAGGCAATATGTAGCATACACTATTCTGTTATGTACACAATTACTTTACTGATAAATGTGACTTGATTTCAGGAGACTCCAGAAGAAGTGATTGAAGCTCCCCAACATAATTTTCCAAATGACTGCAGCCTGAACTATCTTTATTAATTCCAGATACATCAGAACTAGCCTTAGCATGCTCACTTTGCTCCTCTGCTTTATTTCTCAATACATCATCATGAAAGAACTTAAGTGCATCTGTTGTTGAAATAGAATGCACTGTTTCATACAAGCCCCGAAATTTGTTTCTTTTTTCTTGTTCTTCAATCAGCCTCTCCTTCAATGCATTCGGAAGGCAGGAAAGCGCACTTCATGGAAATACAGATCCACAAATAATAAGTAAAAGAAAAGAATTTAAAAAATATCATAGGTATATCAAAGCATTCATTCTTTTCAAGCTAGATACAGCCATAATATAATTCTTCTTTCATGTTCTTATTTCTTTACCTGGTAAAACCTCTAACAATACCCCAGTTGTATCCTGCAAGCACTGATTGCTTGAAACCAATATTGAATCCCTCTTGAGCAGAAGCTTCTTTCCCGGCTATGAGGCCACCACGGTATCCAATCTGAAGTCATCCAGAATGAAAGCAATAAAGGTTTAGAACTCAGAATGCAATGGGGAAAACAGAATGATGAGGAAGGAACAAAAGAATCATCAAATTACCGTGTGAAATTGATCATGTCTCCTCTGCCACTCCCGGTCCAAATCAGATTCTCTCTCTAACTCCTCATCAGAACCACCCCATAAAGAACCACCATCATCCTGCAAGTCACCTTCATAGCAAATCCCAAACTAACTTTATATAAGTAACACCAAATAAAATGTCATCATTCAATTACACAAATTAGAAATTTCCAACAAGTGAGAAACAAAGGAAAGTAAGCCAAAATAATTAAGTCAATCATTACATTCTAGCAATCCAAAGGTATACCATCATGGATGAAGCAGAAAACAAGTTTTTAAGGAACACCATACGATTGAAAATCGTTTAGTTCGTTCTTCAACAACACACACAAACACAAATCACCTACGTACACGCATACACATACAGGTAAAATGTATCAATTTGCAGCCTATTCTTTTTCTTTACTCCTTCCTAGCTGTTTCTTAACACAGTAAATTCAACAAAGATCATCGTTCAGCTTCAAGTTCACTAAAAAGAAACATAATTCCAAAGAACAAGCAACCACAGATCATTAACTCAACTATATAGAAGAGCATACAAAGTCATCAAAAGCAACAAAAAAGCACCAAATTCACAAATACGTAAAGCAAACAAATAAATAAACCAAAACCTATATCACAAAAATCACTCTACATACCACTCACAATTGGCTCAGTACCCAATTCAGCATTTGAAAGTTGCAAACTTTCTGAGTAAAGCTCCTTGGCAAAACTACCTTCCATCTATTACAACACAAGAGACAACAAAAACCCAGTTAGTAAATTCAAAACAACAGTAAATATCTCTCTCAATAAGCAAAATTCAGGTAAATACTAAAGAGTAAAGAAATAAAAGAGATTGAAGCTTTACTTCTTTCACTCAAAAAGGCAAAGACTTTACTGATTTTTTTATTGATTATAGTTCCAATGCAAGAAAAGTTTTGGTTTTTACCTTTGATTAATGATTGAATTAAAAAGAGAACCCGAATTTGTTTGTTGGGTACGCGGTTGATTCAATCGGGTCGGTGGTCCAAGGATAGGTAGTTGCTAGACGAAAGGGAGGAACTGTAGTGACAGGTGGGTCATGGATTCAGGAACAAGAGGTCTACGAAAAAATTATGGTTGGGCTGGGCTCTATTTGGGCCTTTCATTCTCTGTTAATGTAAATAGGGAATCCGTAGAGGTGTTCATTCGGTTTTTCGGTTCGATTTTAATGCTTTTTTTTTTAATTAACCAAATTGGTTAAAACAAAAACAAAACCTAAACCGAATTGATGTTCGGTTTTTCGATTAAAAACGTAATTTTTTCGGTTCGGTTTTTCGGTTTTACGGTTAAAAACTGTTTTTTTTTCTTCTAAAAATCGAATTATTTTACTTTTAAAAAATATCAAACTTACATAATCAAAGATTGCATATTTCACATTTGATTTTATAAGAAAATTATGTATGATTATTATTATTATTTTTTATAATAAATATGTTTCTATTTATATTATAAACTAAATTAGTTGGACTTATCATTTTTTTTCAATCATGCTATAATTGATTTTTTATTAATTTTTCATATTCTTTTTTTAATCTATTTATTTTTTGCATATTTTATTGTTGAATATATAATATGAAAAGTTCAATTTTTAATTTATGTTTGTACCAATTTTAATACGAGACAATTTTTTTTCATGAGGTTTTAGGATTCACCCATATATAAATTTGTGTTTTTATAAAGAATTTCTTTATCATAGTCTTTTTTTCATTTTTTTGTGAGTCAATATAATATAATCAATTATTTTTTATTTCAATAAACAATTAATGAAAAATATTTCTATTTTAAGTAGAAAAAAATCATTAAAGCTATTATTTTTTTAGTTAAACACATAGGTGCCTCTTTGTTTTTTTTTAAAAGAGTTTGGGTATGTGTTTAAAAAAAAAAAAAACTAATTCGGTTTTCGGTGGAAATCGAATTTGAAAAAAAAACCGAACCAAACCGAAATAATTTCGGTTTTCGGTTTCGGTTTTTTTTAAATTTCTTTTAAAAAATCGAACCGAAATTGTTAATTCGGTTCGGTACGATTCGGTATTTTGGTTTTAATAGAATAGTGAACACCCCTAAAAATCCATGCTCGGAATCGATGATTGCGCCTATGGGCGGGGCTTGATTTCCCATCACCATGGGTTTTATAGAAATATGTCTTATTTATTTGTTTTTTTCTTTTTTCTTTTTTACTTATCTAATACCACAACAATTATTATGAAAAAAAAAATCACTTTCCTATAAAAATGAAAGTATTACTTATGATATTCATCCAAAATTTTCCTACCCTAAAGTGAAGTTCCTCGAATAAAATAAAAAAATAAAAATTAATGACTCAATCTATTCTTATATAATAAGATAATTCTTCAATTTATTTTTATATTTTTAGTTAAATCAATTTATTTTTAAATACATGTTAAGTTTTTATTCTACCATTTTAGTAGCATTTTTAAGTTAAACTATTGAAATTAATTACGTAATTTGTAAATAAAAACCTCCTATTTGTCCGACTTGTAAGGATGTTTTGAAAATAAAAAATGATCATACCTAAATCATATAATTAATTCTTGAAATTTTTTATCAAAAAGATAGATTAAAATTTAATATATATTCAAACATAAAATTGATTCAATTACACATGCAAAGATAGATTGAAGAATTAACTTGTATATTATGCAAGGATAGATTGAGCCATTAACTCAAAAATTAATGTATAGATTATAATTTCTAAAACACATTCATCCCTTCTTTTTCTTTTAATTATTATTCCATGAGTACTTTAAGTGCATCCAATTATCAAACAATGACTACAATTCACATCATCTCTAATTTGCTCATCCATTGTTCTTTCCTTTTTATCCAAACAAACAGTATAAAGATCAATTATACTTGCACGCCAAAGAAACTTCAAATATTATTTTAAACATTTCCTTTTTATATCATAATCTTTCACTTTTTCTTTAGACAGAGACATTCAAGAATGAGGCTAATAAGAAATTAAAATGAAATCCTCAATTTATATATATATATATATATATATATATATATATATATATATATATATATATATATATGTATGTATGTATATATAATGTCAACTAAGGCTGATGATAAAGGCTTTCTAACCAACAAGAACATTAATAAGGTACGAAAATTGCAATTTGCAAACAACAAATCTCCCACTAGTGTAACCTTAACCATTTCTGTCTGTACAAGATGAATTCTAGGACTGCGATATCTTGTGTCCTCTTTGCCATTTCTGTGACGTTTTCATCTCCTTGTTTAGCCAACTCATCAAGAAAGCTGTGGCGAGAGAAAAACTGCAACATGTACCAAGGACGTTGGGTTAAAGACATGTCCTATCCTCTCTACAATTCATCTGCCTGCCCTTTTATTCGAAAGGAATTTGATTGTTCAAAGTATAGTCGACCTGATGATCACCTCTACCTTCGATATAGATGGCAGCCTAGTGATTGCAACTTGCCAAGGTACAATATCCATCCATACATGCAACCATTTCAAATTATGTGTGTATGCATGCCTGAACATGCTTATTGGACCACAATTTTGAAAATTTCTAGAATTTTTTTTTAAAAAATAGATTGAATTTTTCTTAATGTGCGTGCAAAATTTCATTTTAAAATATCAAAAATTAAATTTTATAAATAAACATGACACTTGAGACTTAGTAGTATCTACTTCTCACATAATTGAAAATCCATATATTGCTTTATAGGAGCTAACGATCTGTTTGTCTATAAACGATTTATATTATGATAATTTGATTATTTTGAAGTAATTAAGACGATGCATTCATTTGTATCTTATGAGTATTCTTAGAATTTTTGTGCTAAATTATGTAAAATGTTCGTTAATTGTAGTATACTGTTTTAAAGGTCTGATGGCCAAGATTCTTCCAGAAGTTAAAGGGCAAAAAGGTTATGTAAGTAGGGGAACTCTCAGTCTCAACTAGTTTCAGTCAATTGTATGCTTGCTCCATGCAGCTGCGCCTGATTCCAATATCACAAGAAATACAAATAACTCTATTACTATAGTGATATTCCAGGTGAGTTATATATATATATATATATATTACATGATATTTTTAGATCAATATTTTTATCAATCGAGATTAAATTTTAATTTTTTAAGATAGATTAGCATCGGATCACGATTAGTTTAATGTTATTTAATTTTAAAAAAATATCATATTCTTTCATCATTCTTTTTATATTTTTAGTATTTTTATTTCTTTTAAATAATAAAATAAATTGAAAAATGACGAAAATAATTAAGTTTTTAAAATAAGAAGGACGAATTAATTCATTTCTTAAAGTTGGAGGGACTAATTTATAATTTACTTAAAATCAGCCATAGAGGATGATTCTGTATTGGCACTTGTCAAGCCATGAGTGGCCACCGACATTACCTGCACCAAACTAACCAATGAAAAGATGATAGAAAATGGAAGGCTTCGGATCAACTAAGAATTTTGTACGGCAATACGGAAGCACTGTCAGAATTTATTAGCATGCCACGACAAAAAAGAAAATCCACGTGTTAAAATAAGGGCCAATTAGAAAAATCCATCCAAGGTACAAGTAAATTTGTAAATTAGTATTAATTAATTAGTTCTTTTTTTCAGAAATTAATTATTTAATTATTTAATAATGTTAATCATGCTTAATTTAACATTAATTTATTTTCAAAAATGTTTTTTCATCGATATTTCTATAATATCTGTTTTTTTTTCATTTTTCTATTTTTAAGACCAAAAAAAAAAATAGAAAAAAAAACTAAATAATTAGTTTTGAAGAAGGAATTAACTAATTCTTTTTTCAAAACTAGAGGGACTAATTTATAATTTACTCTCCAAGATGCCTCCAAAGCTACCGTGCATGTACTTAATCCACAGTGAAAGCTCACTAAATACACAGTAATCATGCCTCCTTAATCCACAGTGAAACATCTCTAATCCGCAGTAAAATGTCTCTAAATCCAAGTGATTTTCCAAGTGAGCCGTCTTAAATTTCTTGTTAATTAATTAATATACGCTAGTTCAGCTACATGCGCACGTTTTTTTGACCAACATTAATGTAGCTATCTACTAAGGCTGAGATCTGACTTAATTTCTAACTGAGAAGAAACTTATTCTAGGCCATTTTTCTGGTTGTGAAGAGACAAATCTCCCATAACCTTAACCATGTTATCTCTCTATACAATGATGAATCATAGGATTGGAATATCTTTTGTTGTCTTTGCCATATTTTTGACATTTTCATTTCTTTGTTTGCCAAACTCGTCATCAATTTCTCCAAAAGAAGAGAACTACTCATCATCAAGCCAGTGGAGAGAGCAATGGCCAAACATTAGCAACTGCGACATGTACCGAGGAAGTTGGGTTCATGACAAGTCGTATCCTCTCTACAACTCATCCGCCTGCCCTTACATTCGTAAGGAATTTCACTGCTTAAAATATGGTCGCCCTGATCGCCTCTACCTTCAATATAGATGGCAGCCTAATGACTGTGACTTGCCCAGGTACACACATTTTCATGTCTATTGTTGTGTGTGTGTATCTATCTATCTATCTATCTATCTATCTATATGATGATACGTGAGATTTTAGCATCTAGATAACTTATATTTATTGTTCAGCCTTCCTGAGGGGGTTGAAAATAGTAGTGGTGTCTTCTGAAATCTTGCAAACATAAAGCGGAAACACTAGAGTTTGTGGTGCCGGAAGTCTCCGGTTCTGCAAAACGGCAACAATGGCTAAATCATTATTAAGAGCTGATTCTCTCTAATAATGTGTATATGTATGCTGGGGTTATTGAAAAAGTCAAAGTTGTTAAGACTTACGAAAGAGTGAGTCTTCTTATATAGCGAAAGACGTAAGGTCTAAGATATTTTAGTGTGTTGCATCATGTGGCTATGAGTAAGAGGACCCATAACTGTAAGAAGGCCCAACTTTAGGGAGCTTTGTGAGGGAACCCAAATTTCATACCTCATCAATGTACATGTAGATTTGCTTATAATATTGGATCCTGAAAAGGCCGAGCTGCATTCTAAGTAAGAGCGCAAATGAAGCAGAGGTACAGGTGGTCTAACATGCCTCCTCCCTATTTAATTTGTTTTGATGATTGTCATGGAAATTAGTTGTTTTGGAATTTATAAACATGTTACAGGTTTAATGGTCAAGATTTCCTGAAGAGGTTAAAGGGCAAGAAGATTGTGTTTATTGGGGATTCTATAACCATCAACCATTTCCAGTCACTGGTATGCTTGCTTCACGCTGCTGTGCCTGATTCCAAGATCACAATGAAGAAAAAACACTCTATTAACACAGTGACATTCCATGTGAGTGAAGTAGTCCTGCAAAGATCACAGCATTTGGAAAATGGAGTCTTACTTACCTTTATATGACATTTGGACTTGAAAACTTTTTTCAGGATTATGGTGTGTCAGTAATGCAGATTAATTCTCTTTACTTAGTCGACATTGAACAAAAAAAGATTGGCCGAGTCTTAAACCTCGAATCAATTAACCAAGGGAGTGTATGGAAGGATATGGATGTTTTGATTTTCAATACCGGGCTTTGGTGGTACCGGAAAGGACCTACAAAACGGTATGAGCTAGCTCCACAAACTCAAATTACAGTTCAACTATTGAAAATCTCAGCCTGTTTAATATTATGGATCTTTCTTTTTCCATTGATCAGATGGGATTATGTTCAAGAGGGTGACAAAATACTTAAGGACATGGATCGTGCAGTAGCTTTTCGCAAAGGTTTAACAACATGGGCAAAATGGGTTGATTCGGATGTTGATACAAATAAAACTAAAGTTGTATTTCAAGGAACTTCTCCTTCTCATTACAAGTATAAAAATTACCCTTCATCCTCTATTTGAAACTAATTGAAGTTTCTGTCTTTCTTTTCCTCCCTCGAAATCAATATTCATGAGCATGAATTTTATGTTTTAAACCTGCAGCGGACAAGAGTGGAACAAACCAGGAGTGATAGATTGCGCGAACGAGACAGAGCCAATGAGTGGATCAACTTACCCCGGTGCTTCACCCTTAGTTTTGCAAGTAGTGGAACAAGTGTTGAGTAGAATCAAGAAACCTGTTCATTTGCTTAATATAACAACTCTTTCACAGCTAAGAAAAGATGCACATCCAAGCTCTTATAATGGTGTTAGGCCCATGGACTGTACTCATTGGTGTATTGCAGGACTTCCAGACACTTGGAATGAACTTCTCTACGCAGCTATTTTGAGTTAGCAGAGAAGAAAAACACGTACTTCTCAAGGGAAGAACATGCGATGATCATTCACTATCGTCCCATGAACTAGATGACAGGAAACCGAGACCTTCAATTCGATCTGTTCAGATTCTTGTTTAACAACTAATTTGTTGACAGCAAATACAAAGATGCTCTCATTAGAGATGCCGAGAGTGGCTTGTGTTCTCGGTCCAAGAACGCTTTTTTTCCTCAGGAAGCCGAAGGTGTGGACATTTTGTGGTGATCCGATCCATTTTGCATTATGCCTATGCGATGTACTTGATTTATTCTGTTTTTCTTATTGACAGAACATTTATTTTGTGTTGTGAGGATTAGAGATTCAAATAATGGTTTTGTACATTCTGTTATCCATATTGGATATTATAAGGGTTTCATTGCTGTTATATATAATTCAAAACTGAAAACTTATTTCGTGTTTTTCTTATTGACAGAACATTTAGAGTTTTATACTCTTCTACTAGCTGCACTTGCACCATTGTTGTTTTTTCCACAGCTGAGGTCCCTATAGTTTAACGAATTTGATCAAATTGAACCCTGTGTTTTCAAAAAAGAACAGTTAGGTCCTTATAATTTTAAAATTTTGACAAAGTTAGTCACTCCCTCCAATTTTTCTGGAAATTTCCGTTAAAGTCAAAATTACTGACATGTGGCACAAGCTGATTTGATGAATTTCAATCAAATTTGATTGTTGACTGATGACTTTATCAAATATTGGCCGGAACATGGGATGAAAAGGCTAGTTTTTTTTTATAAAATTCAAATTTCAAAGACATAGTTGTATTATTATTATTATTATTTGAACTATAGGGCAAATGATTCAATTATTGAACCACAGGAACCTCTCGGATGAAAAACCTAATTACTGCTCCCTCAGTCCTAATTTTATCTGTTCCTTTAACTTTTAAGAATTCAACATAATATAGTAGGCTTTTTTTTTTTTTTTTTAATGTAATTTTATAGTAGATAAACCTTTAACAAAAATAGTTATAAAAAAATTAGACTTTAATTTTTCCAAAACAGAGTTTTTAAATTTTATATAATTGAGATCAATTAAAAAAAGTTGGTCAAATTTTATTTTTAATGACTTATTAAAACTGAAGAAGGCCAATAAAACTAGGATCAGATGGAGTATTATTTAATAAAAATTTGGTTAGATGATCGAAGAACATTTTAAACTTTCGGTTTACTCTTTAAGAATTTTAATTTAACTATTATGTACTATTTTTTTTTTTTTTTGATAAATAATAGGTTTTTCTGATCAGTTTTTCAATATTAACTACGTATAAAAGTCACTTGACAATCTTAAAGTGTAACACTTGTTCCATTAATTGATACGTTTCATGCTTTAATTTAAGTTAATAGGACCTTTTCGTTTTTTAAAACTATCACATGACATTTACTTATCTTTAGTGCTGAAAAACTAGCAAAATCAACCTATTATTTACAGAAACATAATTAATGGTAGTCAAATTGAAAATTTTGAAGGTTCCAAGAATAAGCATTTCTTGAATTTTGGATCTAGCTTTCTGATTTCTTGAGCATTGTACATTATGTACACAGTACTTTCAAATATATAAAAATTTGAATAATCAACGAACTTATCAACCCATTTCTCAATCGGTGTCTTCAACTCAATTGCAATTGATGGGGCTCGATTCACAAAATAACGAGATATTATTAACTGTTTCTGCCTAAAACGTCTTTTTTAAACCCGTAGTCCTCAACATTATATATCATGTACACATGATTTTCAAATATATGAAAGTTTGAATAATCAACTGATTTATCAATTAACATCTCCATCGATGTTTTCAACTCAATTACTGTTGATGGAGTTTGATTTACAACATAACATGTCTATCTCAATTTAACTGAAAGTTCATGTTACTTTAGTATCATTTACCATAGAAATTTCATACCATTCCATTTCTCACTTGCACTTTCTTCACCTTCTCTTTATCCTCTGATCCCGGTCTCCTCGACTAGCTATCACTAATGGGGACTTCTTTCCGTCCATCTTCTCTGTCTCTAATTTCATATTTTAAATTTCTCCATCTTCATCCAAGCAAACAATATGAAGAGAGAATAACACGCGAAACAGACTTCATTATTTTTATATTATAATCTTTCACTTTCTTAATTTATAGCCAAGACAAGCAAGGATGAGGCTATTAAAAATAAAGATGAGATCCAGACTGATTTATTTTCCATCTATATTATATTATATCAGCTAATAATTGGTTATAAAATATTTTAATTTTTTGGTCAACCGGAAATAATTTTTTAAATAATTTTTTATTTTGATTTGGATCCTGATTTTTTTTTTTATATCCATAATTAAATCTTTTAATCATGTTGATCGATTTCAAAAAATATTAGATATTCGTGAGAGATATGTGAACCATTAAAACAATCACATATGTATTCTCACGCACGCATGTCAAATGTTGCATGAAATTGATTTACAAGATAAAAAAACTTAATTGCAAACTAAGAAAAAGATTTGAAACTTAAATTAGACTTTTTAACAGAAAATTCAAAATACTTTATAAATAATTAGCCTATTATATTAAGATAAGTTTGTGCTGTAATGATCTGAACTTTGGCTGCTGCTATATATGTTTAATCAGCAATCAAGAACACATGGAACACCATTTTGAATATTTTTCTATTAGCTTAACCAAAAAGAAAGGGATCAAAACAATGTTTTTAATTCTGAAATCCTACAGTTGCTTGTGTATATAAATCATAGCGTTTTTCAATATCTTGTAACCTTAACCATTTGTCCATCTCTGTCTAAGCAAAAATGAATTCTAGGACTACAATATCTTGTGTCCTCATAGCAATTTTTATGATTTTTCCATCTCTTTGTTTAGCAAACTCATCAAGCAAGCGAAGGAAGCAATGCCATAAAGATAACGGCGACATGTATCGAGGGAGTTGGGTTCAGGACAAGTCGTATCCTCTCTACAATTCATCGGCCTGCCCTTTCATTCGCAAAGAATTTGATTGTTTAAAGTATGGTCGCCCTGATCATCTCTACCTTCAATATAGATGGCAGCCTAACGATTGCAACTTGCCAAGGTAGCATCAGGATAAGAGGTTCAAACCTCCCATCAACTTTAAGTTATTTGAAAATCTATATTTCGAATTTTAATTTCGGATTGTATTGTTACAGATTTGATGGTCGAGGTTTCTTGAAGATGTTAAAGGGCAAGAAGGTTATGTTCGTAGGGGACTCTCTGAGTCTAAACAATTTTCAGTCAATGGTATGCTTGCTCCATGCAGCTGCGCCAGATTCCAATATCACAAGTAGTGCAAAAAACTCTGTTACTACAGTGATATTCCAGGTGAGTTAGATATCGTAATCTCTTACATTTCCTTGTCTAATCAAGAACTAAATAATTATTAATTTAGAACTAGTAGTCTTTCTTTTGATGTGTGATTAATTTGTCTTAAAAAGTGGGTTAGTTATAACTTAATTTCATGATTTTGCAGGATTATGGAGTATCAGTAAGTCATTTTCAATCTCCATTCTTGGTAGACATTGAACAAGAAGAAATTGGCGGAGTTTTGAAACTTGATTCCCTTAAGAACGGCAATGTATGGAAGAAAGCTGATGTTCTGGTTTTCCACTCTTTCGGTTGGTGGTACCTAACAGGATCTAAGCAACCGTACGAGTTTCCTTAAACTTGAGCAAACATTATTAATTTGAACCCTTTGTATCACTATGGTTTGCTTTCTTTTTCTTCTTCTTTTTTTTTCTTTTCAAATTTTTAAAATAAAAAACAGAAATGATACTAAATGATCTGTTTATATATGATTCGATTATTAAAAAATGAACTCTTTGTAACAGTATCGATGTTTTGTGAATTTCAGATGGGATTATATTCAAGAAGGCAAGACTAATTTCAAAGACATGAATCGTACGGTTGCTTTTCAGAAAGGTTTAAAAACATGGGCAAAATGGGTTGATTCAGATGTTGATACACGTAAAACCAAAGTTATTTTTCAAGGAATTTCTCCCTCCCATTACAAGTAAGTTATATTTGATTGAAAGTAATGAACTATATGATGTTAAGGCTCATATATTTTTATATTTGGTTGTATAATTTTTAAAATTATAGAATAATGGACCATTGCAATTATAATGACTCATTGCATTGCAATTGTAATGAACTGTTATATGGTGAAGAGTACTATTACAAGGACCAAATTGCAAATTTTGTTATTTTAATACTGAATTGTAATTTTTTAAAAAGTATAAGGATGAAAAACCCTTTTAAATAAGATCTAATTTGCATATAAAAATAAATAACAAGGACTAAATTAATTTTTTTGAAAATTATAAAAACAAAAATGAAACTTTATGAAGTCTCCATTACATTAGTAAAAGTTTTGTATCAATGAATTTAATGAAACGTTCCATTTCATTACATTATTATTATTATTATTATTATTTCATATATTACACATTTGATTACATTAAATCCATCATTAGCACTAATATTTCCTGTCTAATCTTCTTTTCTTGACCCTTTTTTTTTTTTTTTGTCTCAAATTAGTGGCAGGGATTGGAATGAGCCGGGAGTGACAAATTGTGCAAACCAGACAGAACCGATGAGTGGATCGACTTATCCAAGTGGTTCGCCACCGGCGTTGCAAATAGTGGAAGATGTGTTGAGTTCTATCAAGAAACCTGTTCATTTGCTCAATATAACAACTCTCTCACAGCTAAGGAAAGACGCCCATCCTAGCTCCTATAATGGCTTGGGAGGCATGGATTGCACTCATTGGTGCATTGCTGGACTCCCAGACACTTGGATTCAACTTCTCTATACAGTTCTTATCAATCAGAAGTGACGAAACATGAAATCGATTAGCCATATAATTATTCTTCCTTGATCATGTCATGTGATAATTATATCAGTCAGGAAAGTTAAAAATAAATTATTAGGGATGTATTCTCGATACATTCTTTTTTAATCGAAAAAATGGAATTTAAGAATAATTATTTTGATTGATTTTATTTTTATGTGAGTGAAAAAGCAATACCCCTAATAATTTTTTTTTTGGTAAATTTTAATTTCTTTGATTCTAAATTTAGTTGGTAAAATTACATGGGATCCTTGATTTTCAACACTTTAATCAAATTTAAATTCAGTCCCATTAAATATGAAAATATTATATGCTGAAAAATTATTGAGTGGGCTGGGCCTGTGTGAATGTACGCTGAACTAGAGGGATAAAGTGGACTGGGCCTAAAAGGAAGGAAAGCTTTTACCTTCAAGTAAATTTCCGAAGAGGCAAATTGAAAGTTACCTTGAATATTTATACAGAAAAAAAAAAGGATTAATGGAAACAAAACATTAATGAAATTTTAAAAATAAAATTTCAGTTATAGAGAAAAAAAAATCAGGTTGGAGTTTTTATTAATAAAAAAAAAAGTAAAAAAATTCATAAACCAGGTTGAAGAAGAGAGGATTGTGATTACGGAGGTTGGGCCATAAGCAAAAACAGGAAAAAGAAACACAGCAGGTGGGTCAGGGAATTGGGTGGTAAAATAGTGTGGCCCAGATATTTTAGGTTTGGTTTTGAACTTGAGAGTTGGGCTGCTCTCAAAACAAAACATGGCCTTTATTTTTTGTGCTTTTGAGGAAAAAGAAAAAGCCTAAACTCCATTTTGATTTTTTTTTTTTAAAGCACTCCAATCGTTTTTGGAGTAAATTATAAATTAGTTCTCAAAAAAAAAAAAATTATAATTAGGCTTTTTATCAGTGTTGACCATATTTAATTTTATTCCAAAAAATATCTTCTTTCCTCATCAATCTTTTCATAATATTTATTTTTTCTATTTTAAAAAAAATAGAAAAGAACATAAAAAAGATAAAATATTAAATAATTAGTTTTTAAAACAGTGGGAACTAATTAATTTATTTCTAAACTAATTTTTAATTTTCCGACTAAGAGAGCAAAACGAAAGAATGTCAAAGTAAATTATGAGTTAGTCCCCTTAGTTTAGTATAATGAATTAAGTAGTTCTTTTTGTTTCAAAAAATAATTGATTAATCTCTTGACTAGTATTGATCATAGTTAATTTAATATTATATTTTTTTCAAAACATGTGTCTTTTTTTCTCATCATTTTTTCATATTTTTTTATTTGTTAAAACCAAAAAAAAAAAATTTGAAAAAAAATGAAAATGAGTAAGTTACAAATAGATTTAAAATATACGAATTGATTAATTAATTATTAAAAATAGTGGGACTATTTAATTTCTTTTGAACTAAAAGGAATAATTTATAATTTACACAAGAATCTCAGCCTCTTAATAGTAAATGTAATTAATCACATTGAAACTGATTAAAAAAAGAAGAAGGTCTTTTGATACAATTTGGTGTTATCATCATGACCAATTTGAAGACAAAAGTACTGCCAAAATAGAAAAAGATGAAACCAACTCTCAAATTATTCCTTAAGAGAGTAAAGTCTTGCTCTCGTGTGCTCTTTCAACGATCGTGGGGTTGAAAATTGCAATTTCCATTCATGCCCAACAAAAATCCTTTATTTATTTTGAAAATATCATATAAAAACAGACATGCAACAATGAGGCTATTAATTAAGAAATATAAGGATGTTCCTTAGGTTTTCCATGTGTTGCATGTGAAATCAAGGCAGATCTGATATTTGCTAGCTCATGCACATTTTTTGACCAATCTAGCCGTATACCATCAAAAGGCTATAAAAATCATTGAAAGGTTTGCTACTTCTGGAAAGCAAACTTTAAAATTATTTTCCTGTTTGTAAATCGGGCAATAATAATGAATTGGGCTTGGAAAGTTACTATATATGATACTCTTGGTCTCAAAATAATTGTCTGTCTTTTTACTATGGTACTCTCGTCTCAAAATAATTATCTGTCCTTTTATTTATATTTCTCAAAATGTTTCTGGTCAAAATTTTAAGTAATATGTTTTTTTAAATACCTCTAATTAATATTAATTGCATGTCTTACAGTATTAAATTTGATTACTAATAATTACGAAAAAGAGGATAGTTTAGAAAAGGATGATAAAGATGCTGACATGACATATCCTTTTGTCCCAAAAAAATTATTCCATTTGACTTTTCATAGTTTTTAAGAAAATTATTAATTATCGTGTTATAAAGATTTTTTTCATATTTTTCTAAAATATTATTATTATTTTTTAAAAAAAATTGTTAGTTATTGAATTTAATTCTATAATACATGGAAACACTATTAATTTAAAAAAATCTATCCAAAATTAAAGTGATAAATAAAAAAAACTCATTAAATTAATTAACGATCAAGTTTAAAATAATTATGGAAAAGTAACATGGTAATAAAAATAGTTTACACTCAAAATAGTTTACCTTCTAATTTCGGCATGTTAAAATCATTAAGTATAAAAAAATATTGATTTCTTTTTTTTTTTGTAAAGAATAGGAAAGAGAAAAAATAATTGATTTTCTTTATCAATTAGAGGTATTTTAGAAAAATATATTATTTAAAGTTTTTATTAAATAAATATTTTGATACAGATATAAATAAATAAAAAATCTTTTTTGATACAGAAGAAATAACAATTAATAACTTTCTAATTTATGTGAAAAATCAAAGAGGACAATCTCTTTAGAATCAAGCAAGAATGTTTGTTTTCAATGCGAGTAACTCATAACGGATGCGTAAAACTGTTGGTTATCAACCAATGAACTTGTAGTTAAGTAATATTTTTTAAAAAAAAAAAACAAAAACAAAAAGATGAGGTTTTCGGTTGCCAAAAAAATTCCTATTTAACAAAAAATAAAAAATAAAAAAAATCTTTCGTTTTCTTTAATGGAAATCTCAGTCTGCTTGTTAAAATGCTTACCCTAATTAATTACCCTGATTTTCTTCTTATTTTGCACGAGAAAATAGCACTGGGCCAAATTTCTTTTGGTAAGCACAGCTATTTTATGCAAAATGCCATGAGAGAGACAGTTTTCAGATTCTAGCTCTTTTAATGCACGATATCTAGTAACCGAATTGCCACTCTACGAGTAAAACTGTCACATTGACATTGAATCCAAAGAAAGAAAGCGAGAAGGAAATTTTTCTTTAGCAGACAAGAGAAAGATATCTTTTTTTTTTTTTTTTTTTTTTAACCATAGAAAAAGATTAATCCAATTGATTGGTGAATCTGAAGCCTTTAATATTCGTTTACTTGCCATAAATACGAAGAGCACACAGACAGGACAAGCTGATCTCTCTGACAATAGCTTGCAAACTTAACAACCTCTCTCTCTCTGTCTTTCTCTCTGTCTTTCTTTCTCCCTCTCTTCACTCCAGAATGATGGAATCTGGGACTAAAATATCTTCTTGTATCCTTTTTGCCATCTTTATGACATTTTCCTGTCTTTGTTGTTTCGCTACCTCATCGAAGAGTACTCTGCAAACCTCCACAACTAATAAGAATGTCTGCAATATTTATCAAGGCAGTTGGGTTCAAGACATGTCGTATCCTCTCTACAATTCATCGGCCTGTCCTTTTATTCGCAAGGAATTTGATTGTCTAAAATATGGTCGCCAAGATCACCTCTACCTTCAATATAGATGGCAGCCTAATTCCTGTGACTTGCCCAGGTACATTCGTTCATCTGTCCATCTCTCTTTTTGTATGTAATTTTATTCACATGTCTGTACTGTTTGTCTTGTGAGTTCTTGAATCAACAAAGACCCATTTTTCTTTCAGAAAAAGACATCATGTTTTTGGTAGTCCATAATTAAAAATCAACAAGCTTTTCAAAGATAAGAATTAAGAGAGCATCTTCAGTTTCTTAGACTAAGTTGAACCAACCAGAGGAGCTTTTTAAGAATTTTTATTTTTGATGATATCCTCATGGAAGTTAAAAAAAGGAGCTTCTAGTTTCTCCATGCAATGATGTTTTGGAGCCTTTTCCAGTTTCTTTTGAGCTGTAGTTTACATACATGAAAATGGGAAAATATGGGTGGCAATACTTTTGTTAGGCAAGCAAGTCTAGACCCACTATAATTCAATACTTGAAAACTAATAATATTTACTCTATAAATTTAGAAAAACCGATAAAAAAAAACAAGAACAAAAATCACATTTGAATCCATCAAAAAATCAAAAAATAAAATAATATGAATATTTTTCAATACTTGAAAACTAATAATACTTGCTCTGTAAATTTAGAAAAATCGATAAAAAAACAAGAAAGAAAATCACATCTGATTCTAAAAAAAATAATACGAATATTTCTATCTATTTTTGTATCTTTTTTCTCTCATATAAACTAAATGTTATTAGTTAACATAAAATTTGTGGCATTAATGAGGCATTGACGAGAGAAATATCAATAAGTCATCCCATGAACTATAAGAAATTAAAAACTAATAAAAATCAATTATTTTATTGTGACGTTGATAGGTTGCTGCATGGGTAAATTTTTCCATAGCTAAATGAAGTGGTGGTAGTGTACCTCAAGAAAAAACTAAGAAATGATGATGACATTTGAGACATCTTATTGACAAACTGCAAAGACAACCAAAAAGAAAGAAGAAAAAAGCAAAGTAACATGATAAAGTGTTTGATTGGAATCAATATTAAAATGCACATTGCATTTGTCCCTTATTCTGTTTTTGATAATGACAAAAATGGTGGCATTCTAAATCTGCAGGCAGTAATAGATTTCCTTCTTTTTTAACATTTCCCTTTGCGTGTAGATTTGCTAAAAATTCATATAAATAAATAGTTTGTGTTGGATGGCGACCTATTTTTTCATAGATTGAATTGATTGGAGCCACAAGTGGGTCTGTGCACTTTGTATAATTGGATGAGGAAACAAGTTGATATAGTTTGCTTATTTTCTTGAACCACCTAGTACTTCTTGTTTATCAGTAAATTATAAACTAAACTAGTACTTCTAGTTTCGATAAACAAATTAAATTAATTTTATTTATTTTAAAAATTAATTAATTATTTTTTTAATTAATAGTGATCATGTTTAATTTAATATTTTTTAATTTTAGAAAAATATTTTGTTGATCAACCTATCCATGATATCTTTTATTTATTTTAAGAAAAAAAATTAGAATAGAACATAAACTAAAACAAAAAAATTTAAATCATTAGTGATTTAAAACAAGAAAAAATAATTAATGGATCATTTTACAAAACAAAAGGATTTAATTTATAATTTACTCCTTGTTTATCATGTTCTTGAAAATGATAGCTCAAGCTCGGTTTCGATCTTAACCGTCGAGGCATTCTCTGGGAACCCAGCTTGGTTTTCGGGCTCAGGTCCATTATTTGTTTAAGGCTGCAGTCCATTATAGAAAACAAGTCAACATCAACTACAAATGCTGAGTGGCCCAAATTTAAGTTTGCAAGGTAAAATAACCACATTGATAGCGAAGCCTGATTCTTGTGGGCTCATTAAAAAAATAAAATAAAATAAATCTCAAACTTTTCATATTTTAATTTCAAGGGATTTGCTCCCTTTTTCTTTTTCTTTTTTATTGCAATTCTGAATTATTATAATAAATAGAAACTTTATATATATATAGAAGCAGGTAGACTAGAAAGTAGAAAAGCCATCTTTTTTTTATTCTTTATGTTAATGACATCGAGCAAAAGGAAGATATTAAATGAATGAGAATAGATTCAAACTTATGTGTTAGATTCTGAAAAATAATATATATTTTTCATATTTTTTGGTTATTGTATAGATCTTTTTTTGATCCTTATAGAATATCTCGAGATCTAAAAGTCTAAATTAATATCTCATTATTATGTTAGTTAGCGTAAGAAGGAGATAAATATTTAAAGAGTTTTTCGTATATATAAGAATTCAAATTTGAAATCTATTTATTTAAACTGACTAGAGACCTCGTCTACTCAAGTCTAGTTCTCTTGAGTTAGTTATAACATAGATGAATCTGTGTTTGACAGGATTAGAATTATACTTGTAATGTCCTAAAACCATTGAGGAAAAAATATAGTACAAGGTAGTGGTATGATACCCCTTCTTGACATTGTTTCAGTTCCTATGGAAGTGGAACAAGGGACTCTGGTAATCAGATTCAATGTTACTCCATTCGATTTGCATAATAATATTTGCATTATATTTTTGATGAAATTTATGCCAAGTTATTGTATTCCTGATATTGTACTAATTTTGGGATGTGTAAACACATCAGGTTCGATGGCAAAGATTTCTTGAAGAAGTTTAAGGGCAACAAGATTATGTTTATAGGCGACTCTGTTAGTCTCAACCAGTTCGAGTCACTGTTATGCTTGCTTCACGCAGCTGTGCCTGATTCCAATATCACAAAGGAGACAAATGAGACTATTAATACAATAACATTCCAGGTGAGTGAGCTAGTCCTGAAAGGTCACTGGCCTTGCTATTATGAGGAAAATAGTCTTACTTTTATATCATAAGTGATTGGACTCGAAAATTTTCAGGATTATGGTGTATCAATAATGCTGTTCAATTCTCACTATTTAGTAGACATTGAACAAGAAAAAATCGGCCGAGTGTTGAAACTTGATTCGCTTCAGGGTGGCAATATATGGAAAGATATGGATGTTTTAGTATTCAATACTTGGCTTTGGTGGTACCGGAGACGACCGAAGCAACCGTATGAGCTCGTATAACTTAGCAAATGTAGTAGATTTGAAAATTCAGAGTAATCAGCTAGCTAGTGTTATTGAATTTTCTGTTCCAAATTTCAGATGGGATTACGTTCAAGAAGGTGAGACTATACTTAAGGACATGGATCGTATGGTGGCTTTTCGGAAAGGTTTAACAACCTGGGCAAAATGGGTTGATTCAGATGTTGATACAAGTAAAACCAAAGTAATTTTTCAGGGAATTTCTCCATTTCATTACAAGTAAGGCTCTCTTGTTTTCTGATAAATGGAGTTAGCATTAATTCTTCTTCTTCCTTTTTTTTTCCATTGAAAATCAATACTGATCAATTCTACTTTCATGACTTAGTGGAGAGGAATGGGGCCAACCTGGAGTGACAAATTGTGGAAAGGAGACAGAGCCGGTCAGTGGATCAACTTACCCTGGTCGTTCACCATTGGCGTTACAAGTATTGGAAAATGTGTTAAGTAGCATCAAGAAACCTGTTCATTTGCTTAATATAACAACTCTTTCACAGCTAAGAAAAGATGGACATCCTAGCTCACACAATGGCTTTAGTGGCATGGATTGTACTCATTGGTGTCTTGCAGGAGTTCCAGACACTTGGAATGAACTTCTCTACACAGCTATTATCAGTTAGAAGAAAACACAGATTTTACTTACACATGTTTATAGCACTGCCATTGAAATAATAGCACAGATTTTACTAGCCAGCTAGGCCATCAGTCAAATGAAATAATGTACTCAATAGGGATGGAAATTTCTCAATATAGCAGCCTATGTGTGCTGTCATTTTTTTTTCCTGATTAGAACAGTTTCATTGATTTATTTAATTCATTCTTTTGTCCAAGACGAGACGTCTATATTTTGTTTGCTTGTTCTTTACTCAAGGAGGTCTAGTGCTAGATAAAGTTGCAATGGTTTTGGAGATCTCTTTTTGGGATCTCTGATCAAGAATAGATTGAGAAGATTCCAACATTCTTGCTTAGAAATGTACTGATAAGCGACAAGAGAATTACTGAAGAAGCAAGGTATCTGAGACTAAGCTGCCTCTTGAGCAGAGATTAAGTTAATGCATGGGAGTGAGGAAAAAGCTATTAGGTTCTTTGTATTTTGCACTTGCTGTAAGCAAACATTACCCAAAGAAAATTTAAGTCCTCAAAATGCAGAAAGTTGGTTGCTGACATACACGTGCAGTGGAATGCAAGCATGACAGTTTCATCCTTTGAAGGAATGAAAACTCTCCATGTTGTGAAGGCGTGGGAAGGAAAGTGATCATTCTTACAAGTGGGAAAATGGGGGAAGACCAAAGACAAAAAGCTGACAAAATAGGAGAAAAGTTTTCTTACAAATGCAGCAATACACTTTCAAGAAAAAAGTTTCCTGATCCTCCTCTACTATTGTAAAAGAAAAATGGAGTTTTGCCTCTTATATACTCTTAACATCTAGTCATCATCTAATCTACGTCTATAAATATTAACCTTCACAAGTTCACAGTGTAGTCTAGTCTAGCCATAAAGAGCACACTTGACAGAGTCACAAAATGGCTTATCTGGTGACTTACACTCTCTTCACTCTCTATTTCATCTTATTCTCATATTTTTGCACGATCACTTGTGGAGTTTTCTATGAGGAAGTAACTGAAGGCATAGCTATTAAGCGCACAGAAAAAACCACACACCTGCATTTCTACTTTCATGACATTGTTAGTGGCGAAAATGCAACAGCTGTGAGAATTGCCGGCCCGCGGGATGGTTCTACCTTTGGCAACACAATGATGGCGGATGATTCATTGACAGAAGGGTCTGAACTTTCTTCAAAGCTTGTTGGAAAAGCTCAGGGACTTTATGCCTTCGCCGCGCAAAATGACTTCTCTTTGCTAATGGTTTTGAATTTCGCATTTACAGAAGGTGAATATAACGGAAGTAGTATTAGCATTCTTGGAAGGAACCAAATCTTGAATGATGTTAGGGAAATGCCAATTGTTGGAGGTAGTGGGCTATTTAGGCTTGCTCGTGGCTATGCATTGGCACATACAGTTTGGTTTAACAAGCAAGGCGATGCTACTGTTGAATATAATGCGTATGTGTCACACTACTGAAACTATCAGGCTGGATAGCTTGCTGTTCACTTTTCATGGATCTTCAATTTGTTCACTTTTTTTAGCTTAATTGATTTGGATTTGCAAGATTTGTACAACAGATCTTTTCAATCACACGTCTCTTTGGAATACAATAGTTCGATTATCTGTCATTGATATTGTTTAAGTAGAAATATATTTTAGTATTTTGAAAGAAAAATCTATGAATTATTGTCTTGAGTTAGGAGAAGGATACAAAAATTGATATATAAAAGATCGAAATTCCAATTCAAGACAACAAGCAACAACCAAGCCTGAATCCAAAGAGCCATATATAAGGAAAACTTAGATCAATGCCAACTGGGTATTACCTGAACAGAGATAGCAGTGTTAAGATTAGGAAAATTCCAGGGATGCTTAAAAGAATTCCTAACCTGGATGTGATTCTCTAGCAAACTATGCTGTATAATGATTTTGGAGCAATTCCTGTTGTGTTATATAACGGTTGTTATATAATGATTTCGGAAGCATCCCATTATCGTTATTTTAGTATTATAATAAATCGCGATCCACGATGATAATCGTTATCATTTTTTCACCCGTTCGTTATTTAAAACTATGACCATAAGCTTTCACTGCTTCTTTCACTTTAAGAATATTAAAAGAATATTAAAAAAATTTTGGGCCTGTTATTATTATTATTATTATTATTATTTAACTTTAGGATCTTAATTGCGATCGTGAGGCCATTTTAACTCTGTCACCATATTGAAATTTTTGGGCCTGTTATACTTTGGTTGAGCTGGAATAGCGTTGGGCTTTTCTTTGGGTTTCAATTTAGCTGGACCAATGTTTTCCCCAAAATGGCCTAAGCCATTTGGTAGTTGCTACCTCATGATTTATGAGTAAATTATAAAATAGTCTCTCTGGTTTTAAAAAAACAAATTAATTAGTCTAATTTATTTCCAAAAATAATTAGTTAATCTTTATATTTTTTAATTTTCTTGTAACTCATTTGTCTTATATATTTTTCAATTTATTTTGATTTTTTTATTTTAAGAAATAGAAAAAAAAGTAAAAATATAGAAGGATTGATAAAAAAAATTACATTTTTTAAAATATAATAATATTAAATTAATTATGATCAATATTTGTTAAAAAAATAAAAAATTATTTTTTGAAAAAACCTAATTAATTTATTTTTTAAAATAGAAGGACTAATTTATAATTTAATCCATGATCTGTATGCAAGCCACCTTTCTTGTTTCCCACAAGCGAGACTGCAAAAAACCCCCACAAGTGACTGTATAAAAAATGAAAAATAAAAATTTTTAAAGACTTAAAAATTTGAATAGAATATATAGATCATGTGACTTTGAAGTTTTTTTTTTTTTTTATTCAATGGCATTTTGAAAATTTTGTTTATGATCGAAAAAATTGACCAAAAAGATAAATTAAAGGCTTAAACATTACTTAAGAATATAAGATATATATATATATATATATATATATAATTAATTAAAAAAATAAAAATAAATTTGAAATTCGAACTATTGTACAATTACAGATTAGGTTATTTATCCCAAAAAAAAAAAAAAAAGAGAGAGCAAAACCTCAATACAGACCACCATAACCCAAAAGCCAGTCAATCAGCCCAGAATATCTGGAACAACAGTTGCCAACCATAACACACTGCATTTTCAATAAATTAGAGACATAAACATCACTGTATCCTTCTCAGCTAATCTGTGTCAAGTTAAACTGCAAGGAAAAAAAAACAAATTGTGCCAGTAAATTCTCCCACCTTTCATATATCACTGCAGTCAAAATTGAATTGCAGAAGGGCAACCAAATCTTGGCCCAATCTCTCGTTCTTCAGCCAACATTACATTTCTTGCAGTTAGGGAAAGTCAGGGACAGGAGCAAGCCAAGCTGAAGGATCTCCACAGAAAATACTGACGGAACACCAGTTTGAGATATATATCGCAACCAAACCAGCCTGAAACACGTAGATTTTAAAATAGCTGTCAGAAACTGTAGTTCTTGGAAAGATTGAAGCTCAACTTAACAAAATGCATTAAAGTTCAGGGATTTCAAGAGAAGAAAGGTAGGAGGGTAGCCCCTCTTTTGCTATGGACTGGAGATTAGGGCAGTAACTGGTCGCCAATTCTCTATGAAAAGTTGAGGGGTCGAATCTCCTTGTAGTCTAGAGATTTCAGACTTTAAAGATTCATTATTCTGAGGGAGGTAAGAGTGGAGGAAAGCAGCGTCTCCTCAGGGAAAGGTTCTACATCTTCACCATAACCAATTCTAAATGTTGAAAGAGAAGTGAGTGATACAAATCCCATTGCATGCGGCCAACAATTAAAATTATCAAACAGTAGTTCATTCTATTGGCTATGTCAAAAAGCCATTAAGATTCAAACAAAATATCTCTGTGCATTTGTAAGAAATATAAAGATTGAAAAGTCAGAACTACAAGTTTGAGTGAAAAATTAAGTCGTTTTATAAAAGGTTCAAATTCTTCCAACATAATGTTTACGAATAGATGCATGGAATTCACAAACGAAAGAAAGTTTAGATTGGTACTACCTCAGCATGTTGGAAGAATCAAAGACGAGACACCCTCACTCCCATGTAGTCTTCTGGCTCAATCCGTCCAAATGTCAGGAATGTGAGAAATCTTGGGCCAATAATCCCCTTGCTCCCGCTGACACCTTTGTTTCAGCAAAGGACAGCTGTAGATCCATAGTGAAGAAAGGGAGGGTGGCATCCCCTCTACTGGAATAGACTGGAGATTAGGACATTTGTAGATCTTCAATTCTCTAAGAGAGGTGAGGTGTTGAAGCCCCTTGTATTCCAGAGATTTCAGATTTTGCAGATTCCAGATTTCAAGAGAGGTAAGAGAGGGGGTAGCAGCGTCTCCTCTGGGAAGGATTCAATATCGTCATACATACCAATCTCAAAGTGTGAAAGAGATGGCATTTTCTGCAAATCCCATTGCAGGCGGCCAGCTATAAGTTTGTTGCAACAATACACTTGAAGTGATTCTAATTTGGAGGGTAAACCCTCAACTGAAAACGACTCTAGTTTTGGACAGCCAAATATTCCCAGATTCACAAGGGAATGCATACATTCAGGAAGCCACATCAAATTTGAGCAGTCTTCTAAATAAAGGGTTCTCAAGTTCAGGGCAGGTAATCCCCCTTGGCCAAAAGATACCAACTTAGGGCACCTACAAATACGAAGAATTTCTAACTTGGGGAACAGCTCTAATGGGAAGCACTCAATCTCAAGCTGCTGACATTCTTGGATTTCAATTGTGGTTAAAGAAGGAAGACGACTGGGCAGGGTCTTTGTTAGCTTCGGACATCGTCTTATGTAAAGTGCTTGGAGGGAAGGGAACGCACCAGCTTCATCCGGAAGCCATTCACGCCATTCTGACATCCTTTCAAACCTCAAAGTTCTCAGCTCCTTCATTGACTTGCAACCTCCATAGAACTCAGGACCAATAAACTCAACTTGATCAAATGCTTCGATTGATAAATCCTTCAATGATGCTAACTGCCCAAATGGGGGTAAGGAGCAGTGTTTACATCCACTTAGCTTCAAGGACTCTATATTTGAAAAAGAAGAGTCTCCTACCCAACCTGGAAATGCTGTTCCCCCATAACCATCAATGCAAAGACTTTTCACATTTGCATGAGGCTGTAATTGCTCCAATATGCATCTAGCATGCGAACCATCAATATCACCATCCCATCTTAGCTCCAACTCATCAAGGAGCTTCTTACCCTTCAAATTAGCTTCCAAAGCATCTTCAGCATCAATGACATTGTGAAGATTCCAAATACAAAGCTTTGTCCGTAGATGTTGAAGCTTCCCCAACTCTTTAATGCTAGAACCACCTTGTTTTCCCAAGATGAAATCAGTTAATTTCTGCAGCTTTGTTAGGTTACCCATTTGTGATGGCATCTCTTGCAAATTTGTCCTTCTAATATCGACATGGCGCAAATTTATTAATCTTGACATTTTGGTTGGCAACTGAACAAGCCATTTGCACGCATACAAGATTAAAATTTGCAGATTATACAAACAGCAAATGGATTCGGGTAACTCTCTAATATGCGTTTGATGAAGATCCAAATACCGCAAATGCTTCAACTTGTCAATTGAACTGGGCAACTCATATATGTTGTTAAACGAACCCAAAGACAGCACTCGTAGCCGCTTGAATGCTGGAAATAAATCATGCAGTACGTCAAGATCAGAGTCTGGAGATAGATGTAAGAAAGTGCGCAGAAATTGGAGGTCGCAGATAGCCTCAAATTTGGAACTATTTTTGGTCCCTGTATACGATAAATGACGAGTCCTTCTAGTAATCTTGCATGACTCCTCACCCTCCATCCTCAAGTAAAATTCTCCAGAAACAAACCTCGCCAGATCATTTATGAGGTCGTGCATAACAAATGATGATGGATGGAGACTTGATTGCTGAAAAAGTGACCTTGATACAAGATTATTAAAGTACTCATGACCTACTTCTTCCATCTCTTTGTTTTCTTTCTGCTGTAATAGATAGCCCTCTGCCATCCATACAGGGACTAAGTTTTCCTTCTTGAATAAATAACCCTTAGGAAATATTGCACAATATGCGAAGCATTGTTTTAGATGCGATGGAAGATAATGGTAACTCAATCTTAAAGCAGAAAGAATGTTGTCATTTGATGGATCCCATAAATTGCTCTTTGATATGTCCTCCCATTCCTTAACTTCTCTGCTGAAGCGCAGGAGACTCCCGAGAATTTTTGCAGCTAAAGGTAGGCCTTTGCATTTTGCCACAATTTCTCTACCAATTTTCTCCAAGCGCGGATGTGCGCTGGAACTTCCATCAACGAATGCATGTTTTGCAAACACGGACCAGCAATGGTCGTTGGTTAATTCTTGCAGATGATAAGGTGGAAGAGCATACCGGCCTGGTGCTAAGGTTTTGTCACGAGCTGTAACAATTATCTTACTTCCTCTCGTCACGTACTTGAAAGGTTCTAGTAAGAACTCCCAGTGGTCATGATCTTTGCTCCAAACATCATCTAAAACAAGGAGAACTTTTTCTCTGTCAGTTTCTTTTCTAGCACAGTATGGAGCTGATTTTCGGTCATGTTGTCGCAATTTTCGGAACTCACCTCTCTAAAAATATTTTTGGTTACCTTTAGAACATCAAATTCTTCAGAAACATAGACCCATGCTTTAATATCAAATGAGTTCTTTACACTTCTGTCATCCGAGACAATGGTTTCTTTGTAGACAAGCTTAGCAAGAGTTGTTTTACCAATTCCACCCATACCCACAATTGGTATCACGTCTATGCGCCTGTCCTGTGCATCATCTGACTGCAGAAGCTTCATAATTGCTTCCTTGTCGGCATCCCTGCCGTAAACACCAGATTCATCGATCAGGGAAGTAGTTGGGATTTTCTGTGATGGTGGTTTCTCTCCAATGCGTTCTATCAGACCAAGCACATCTCTTTGCTTTACCAACTCTTCTAGACTCTGAAGGATCTTTGCTAAATCTGGTTGCATCTCTCCCATTCCCCTTTTGCAGAAAGCAAGAGATGAGAGAAAGCTTCGCACCTGATCTGTGCAGTTCTGACTTTGAGGATCAGCTTCCAACTTCAATTTCAGAGCTTTATAAGCAATCTCGTCCAAGAAGTCATCGGCTTCATACACAGCATCCTTGAGCTCGTCAAGCCACTCTTTCACGGCAGAGTCAGTAATCTGCTTCGCCTCTGCATCGTTGAGCAGTTTACTGACTGATCTCATGGTATCCTTCAACTTCTTCAGCAGTCCTTCATCAAGTTTTTGGCCTCTGAGGAAGTCCTTAACCTCAGGAGAAGCAATCCTTTTGACCAAAACCTCAATAACAGCTGTGAGAAATGATTCTCCAATCATTGCCAGAGCCATGGTTTCTCCTCTATGCAAAAGGAGACTAAGTAAAGAGGAAACTGAGCAAAGCGAAAATAAAGAAAGGAGAGAAGAAGAAATAATGGAAGAGAGTTGAGTTTAATTTTGTTGAAGAACTTAGAAGAAGGGATTTGGATCTGACTTGATTTTTCCTCTTTGATCTTTAAGAAGGAGCTAAGTGAAATAAAGAGGAAACTGGTCAAAAGAACCAGAGAAGAAAAAGAATCGAACAAGAGGAGATCTATGGAATTAATTCTGATGAAAGAAATCAGAAACAGTCCTTCAGTTTAAGTTTAAACTCTGGAATCCATCTGCGTAGACGTAGACTTGACTTGTGGGATTATTGTGGACTTCATGCATACATACAGAGAGGAAGATAAGACGAAAGTGGAGCTATTGGCTTTGGAAAAGATATGAAACCAGTTGGCAAGTTCTATAATTTGTCCTTTACGAGCCAGCTTTCCAACGAGTGGATCAGTGATCTGTGCAAGGTTATTCCTTCTTTTTTAAAGTGGTTTGATTGTTCCACGATAGCTAGCTCCACATGTGGACAAAGCTCTAGACGCTTTATTATGTTTACTAGCACGTTGCCCGCTGCGCCACGGATCCGATAAAACAAAATTATTTTAAGATTTTAAATTTTTTAAATTATAATATTTTTTAAATTATTTTTTTTAATGTTTTAATAAATTCTCTAATTAAGAAAATATAAATAATTTTTTTTATGAATTGATCTATATATATTTATATATTTAGTAATCATTAAAATTAACAAAAAAATAATATTTAAATAATTGATTAGTTCATTTAAAAAATTATTTAAATTATTTTATTCTCAATAAATTCCTTCTATAATATTAAAAAAATATTTATAGTAAATAATTTGTTCTGTATTAAAAAATGTATAGTTAATTTTTAAATTTAGTGATCAATAAAATTAGCATAAAAAATAGGATTTGAATAATTGGTTGGTTCATTTTAAAAATTATTTTAATTATTTTATTTTAAATAAATTGGTTCTATAATGTTAAAAAAAAATTATAGTAAATAATTTGTATTATGTTGGAAGATGTGTAGTTAATTTTTAATTAAATCAATGATTCAATGATTTTTATATGTGTCTTGACCATATATAGTAAACTGAGACAAATTATTTGAAATATACGTTTAACCTTTTAGAATAATATATATATATATGCAACTATCATGTAAAAATTCTAAGAATTCATGAAAAACATTATACCAATTTATTTTATTTTTTTTAAAAATCACATTTTAAAATTTTATTCTAAAATTCAAACATAGAGAAAAATAAATTATATAATATCGATAAATAAAATTTCA